GTATTATACTATTTCTTATAAGTTTCTATTAAGGACTTTAATATTTTCCTAGTAGTAGCCCTTCTATTATACAACTACTTTATCTTTTCTTTAGCTATTAGTACTTCTATAAAGATTTAACCTTTTAGCTTAGCATTATAAAGGTTCTATAAAAGATATCCTATAAGCGTTTCTACTAGTACTATATAAATAGTACTATACTATAACCTATTATAAACAAATTTAGCTATTAATAGCTACTTAGCCTAGTTATCTTACTCTAGGTTATAGAAGGCTTACAGAAAATACTTAATATTCTAGTTTTACCTTTCTGTCTACTTATTAGTCTATAAGTAGTACGCTATACTAAGTTTTTTTTTAATTACAAGTAAATAGTATACTATTACCTAGAAGTAGCTTGTAAATAGTAACCCTTTATCTAATATTATTACTACTAAGATACTAAATTATAAAAAGACCTTCTTAACTAAGAAAGTTACTAGCTAATTTACTATTATAGTTTCTTTTATTAGTATATAAACCATGTACTTAATAAGTTTGTCTACTATAACTAAGATATTATTATAAGTGTTTCTAGTAAATCCTTTTAACTTAAATAGCTTTATAATAAAATTAAGAAAAATATATTCTTATAGTTAGCTTAGTAAAGAAAAAGGTATTAGCTTTTTATAAAGTAAATAGTATTTTAGCTTAGTCCTTTAATATATTATATATATTTTAATATATTCTCTTATATCCTTTTTTAGTAATTTCTAGAAGAACGTTTAGCTAATCCTCTTAATAGTCTAAGTTATCTCTAGGTATTTTCCTATTAGCTTATTATAAAATATATAAAGAAGCTATAGCTTAGCTATATAGTTTTCTAAAACAATAAGTTTACTTTTATAGTATAAAGTACTATTTTCTCCTTAGGCCTAGTTATTCCTTAACTATCTTTATCTTTATAATTAAATCTTCTTATCTACTACTTAGGCTTCCTTTACTTCTTCTTTAAGGCTCTTAGCAAGTTATTCTAGGGTTACCCTTTAAGTACCTAGTAGCCTACCACGTTATAGTGTCGCTACTCTACTTACAAACTAGCTAAAAAAGTTATCTAAGAACATATTATTTACTTTCCTTTTCTCTATACCTATAGGCTGGTAATCTAGTCTTTTTAAGAACCTATTAGCTATATTTTCTTTTCCTAGTTAATAGTTGATTTTAAAGTTAAAAAGGAATAAGTCTTATAGTAGTTTTACTTAATAAAAGTTAAGTTATAGCTTAGTTATTAGGTAATAGTACCTTAGGTAGTTTATTAAGAATATTATCTTATACTAGGTATAAAGAAAGTAATACCTTTAATATAGTACTACTTTATAAATTACTAGCAGCTCTGTTTCTAGTACTCTATATCTAAGTTTAGCTCCCTTTAATTTCCTTAATAAGAATACTACTAGATACTATACCCTCTTATAGTTTTAGTAAAAGACTATACTAATTACAAAGTTTAATACATTTATTTTAACATAAATAAGTAGTATAAGGTTAGAGTAATAGAGAATAAAAGCCTATATAAATATAACCTATAACTTGTAAAAGGCCTCTATTATATTCTTAGTTATTACCTACTCCCTTGTTACCTTTATAATTAGCTTATCTATAAGTAAAGTATATACTTTTAAGTAGTTCTTAATAAACTATTAATAAAATTCTATGAATCTAAAGAAAACCTATATTTCCTTTATACTAGTAAAAAGTAGCTACTCCTTAATAGCCTAAACGTAGTCCTCTTTTATTATAATCCTTTTACTTAAAATCATAAACCTAAAGAAACTAATAAACTATATATAAAAAGTATACTTATTAAGGTTTATATAAAGACCTATAACGTCTAACTAGTAAAATACCGTCTTTATAGTATTCTAATAGCTCTCTTTATCCTTAATAAAAATTAAAATATTATCTAAGTAAATAATATAAATTATATCTACTAGCCTAGCTAAGGTATTATTAATATAAACTTAAAAAGTTATTAGTATATTTATTAATTTAAATAGTATAACCCTATACTTATAATAGCTATACTAAGTATAGAAGGCTATCTTCTACTTATCTTTAACATAGATCTTTACTTAATAATATATATCCTTTAAGTCTAGTTTTATAAACCACTTTACTTTTACTAGTTAGTCTAATATCTTACTAATAAGTAGTAATAGTATATAATTCTTAACTATAATCTTATTTAGTCTATAGTAGTTAACATAAAGGCATAACTTTCTCTTCTTCTTTAGTACAAAGAGGATTAATACCTCTACTAAGCTCTTTAAGGGTCTAATTTACTCCTTTTATAAGGCTTTATTAATATACCTCTTTAATTCCTTTAACTCTTTTACTACTAATAAATAAATAAGCCTAAACAAAAGCTTAGTCCCTAGTTCTAAGTTAATAAGGTATACTCACTTGTCATCTAGCGCAGGTTTCACTACAAGGCTAACGTTAAAAATATAAGCCTACTCTTTGTATTCCTCTAATAAAATAAACTCCCTTAGCTTATTATTATTATCTTTTAAGTAGACCTTTAATAAGACCTCTAGTAAACTACTAATTTTTCTATACTATAAGTAATATATTATTAGCTTATTTATTAAAATAGCTTATACTTCCTTTTAGGCTCTTTAGATAACCTTCTTCCCTTATACTAGTTATAAGTAGCCTTTACCTAATAAGTATATTTATCCTATTATAAACTATACTAGGTTTAGCTTTACCTTTTTCTTTTAAAAGATCCCTAGGATTATATTATAGTAGCCTTTATTACTAACTTAAAAGATATAATACTAAGACTTTACTACCCTAAAGTTATCCTTTACTTCTATCATTAACCTCCTTATCCTATAATTAAAGGCCTTCTTTTTCTATATCCCTTATAGTACTAGTTTCCCTTAGCATATTACCTATAGGACCTCCTTATATATTATTCTCTAGTATAGAACATTCTTATTAGCTCCTAGGTTAATTAATACCTTACTTTTCTGCTATACGCTATTTACTTAAATATAAAAGTCTACTTTAAAACAAAAATATAGCCTTTTATCTTAAAGTATTTAAATACTATTAACCTTAGTAGCTACTAGTAAATATTATTTCCCTATATACTATAGTTACTTATACTTATAGTATTATTCTATAGTATAGTTTAGAGAAATATAGCTAAGTTTTTTGTAGTTATAATAAGTAACTAGTATACTAGTTTTGTTATAAGATAAATAGCTACTCTTTTCTTTCTTTTTAACTATAAGCTTTAGTATAGGTATACTTACTACTAGTATAAGTATACTTGTTATTAATATAAGTATAAGCATAGAGTATTATCCCTTTAGCTTATTAGTTATTACTCTAATAAGTGTTACTTATAGCATAGTAGTAGTCTATTAGTTTCTTTATTCTTATAGTTCTTTTATATAGCTATTAAGAATATCTTTTATATAACTCTTAATAAATATCTTAACCCTCTTTATAACATTATTTAACTTTTACCTTATACTTAGAAGGCTTTTTACTAAAATATAATTCTATAAGTCTAGTATAAAGCAATTAAGTATATATATTACTTACTACTTCTTTAGTATAATATTAAAATACTTTACCTTAGTTATTTTATACTAATTAATAAACTTTTAATATAACTAGCTTAGCTTCTACTTTATTTTATCTAGCTCTACTATTACACTAAAGGCCTATATATTATTATTAACTATACTATTTTATAGCTATATCTTTATTATAGCTTATATTATATTTATAATTTTCTTACTATAATAAAAAAAGATATAGTCTTTTTATTTATAAAATAAGTTATTTTCTAATAATATACTAATAAATTATATTTTATTCTTATTAGCTATAAATTTATCTTTTATAATATTAAAACGCTTTTCTAATTTAAATAAAAAATCCTAAAAGTTATCTTAGTTACTTCTCTTATATTAAATAAGAGCTAGTTACTTAATTAATGTATTAGTATATAGTCACTTAGGCTTTAGCTATAAGGTAATAGATCCCCCTTAATAGTTATAAATAGTCTCTAAAGGTGCCTTATTTCTTAAAGCTATAATCTACTTAATATATTTCTTCTTTTTTGCTTTTATTACCTTAGTTTCTAAAAGATTTCTTAGTTCCTTCTCCTTTAACCCTTCTAAGTTAATTACCCTCTATTACTCTTCTAGTATAATACTACTAGTATTAAGAGTAAGCTACTTAAGGGTAACGCTTTTATATAAGTAAATAGCTAATTAAAATTAAATAGAAAGTACTATTATTACCTTAGTAGTTAATATACTTATAGATAAAAAGAAATTAAAACATATTAAAAACTAAAGTTATATAAAGTAATAAGGTTAGTAATAAGTATAAGTAAAGGTAAGTATTAACTATTATTCCAATCTGCCTTTTCCCCTAGGTCTACTACAGCTGCTCCTTATATGCCCCCCAGGTCCCCCCCCTTAACTAAGCCTAGTTCCCCTAGCTATAACACTAATTTAGCAGCGTTATACTATTACCTTTCTCTAACGTTAGTCTTAGTGGCTAACCTTTGTTATTGGAGTCTGTGTTGGCTGTGTAGCTAGAATCCCTTTATAATCCCTTGACTATGTGCTGGTGCGGCCCCCAGCTACCCCGCCGACGGCCCCACTAGTGCCGCGCCGGTGCCCCCCCCCCTCTGGGCGCCTGACACATACCACCTTCTGAGCAAGTCTCGGTTTCAACACCAGATGACCAGGCCATTGTCTCGGCTTCCTGACGCACGTAGGGGTTCAGGACGCCAATCTGCGGCGGGCCGGCCGTTGTCATTGTCAACGTAGGAATCGAACCATCGCTTCCGTATGTGAACTTCTCAACGGCGACAGAACGTGTGTATCCGCTTCCTCCCGGCAGCGCGCCATTGTGGTAGAAGAAGTACGAGTTGCCCTGGAAGTCGAGAATCCCCGGGTGGTTTGTGAAAGAGGCTCCAGCCGCCGCCATCACCAGCCCACGGTACGTCCAGGGTCCGGTAGGCGAGGATGAGGTTGAATATCGGATGTCTTCCGAGCAGCAGTTGGCGGCGTAAACCATGTAGCAAGTCGAACCGCGCTTGTAGAACCAAGGACCTTCCTCATAAGCAGATGGCCGGAGGTGCGGGCGCCGAAGCCTTGTGGGGTGAGGGTGACGCGGTTTACACCGCCGGAGTAGGAAATCATGTCCTGGTTCAGACGGACGTAGGACAATTTTGGGTTTCCCCAATACAAGTAAGCCTGGCCATTATCATCGATGAATACAGTGGGGTCAATCTCGTTGTTGTCGACAAGTGGCTTGCCAAGGGCGTCCCGGTACGGTCCTGTGATGGAATCGGAGACAGCAACGCCAATGGCCATGGACCCCGTCGTGCGCCGGATGGGGACGTAGAAGTAAAACCTGCCATTACGAGGAATAACCTGTCCAGCCCACGCATTGGCGTTGGCCCAGCTAAAGGTAGCTAGTGAGGCCATGACGCCATGATCTTGCCAGTTGACCATGTCACTGGTCGAGTAGGCGCGCCAATCCCGCATATTGAAGCCAGTGGATCCGTCTTCGTCATGGCCAGTGAAGACGTACACCCGGTTGTTATAGACTAGTGGTGCTGGGTCCGTTGTGTATATAGTCTGCACGATTGGGTTATTGGCACGTGCCAAGCCAGCTCCATCAAAGAGAGCGCCGAGGAGCAACAGAGCTGGGGTGAGCGCGATCATGTAGCCGAGCATTGTTGAAGGTTTCGAATAATTCATCCCGACGGTAGAGATTTTTAAGCCGCGTATGAGCCCTCAGTTGAAGGTAAAATAGCCAGTGTATTTTTACTCCAACTGAGACTCGACTTTCTTATATAGCATATATCAATGGGTATTTATGACCTATCCTGAGACAACTCCACGTCTTTGGCGCCCCGGGATTATACCTTTGTGGGGGCTCCCTATCATGTTACATGAGAGCTGCATTGCTACCTGTTTGCGGTTCGGGCCAAGAGGAAATGTTCCGTCGCCAGGAACCGTGCCACTTTGGGCCAACTTCATCTTCTTTGAGGCACCGGAGGTGTGCCGCCGAATTTGGGGTTGAGATCGACGGCGTCTGGGGAAATTGTCGGTCAACATCCCTACGAATACGGCCAGGTATTTGACAGGAACCAATCTCCATATATGCTTACACGAACTTTATTCAAGGAAGCTTGCATTGGTAGTCTTAATGCTCGAGATCGCGGGCCAGATGTAGACGAAGCTGGTCTCGAAAGGCTGTAGACATATAAGAGCTTTGTTGCGCGATGTGGTTATCGGTTCCAGATGCGAGGGAGTGCTTCACTTATCGATATAGGGTGAACCGGGGATTTGAGTCCATCACATAGCCCTTGTTGACAAATATCTCAGCAGCGCATCATCACACCAGAAAATAGCGCCCATCAGGGGAGGTTACTCAAATTGGAGGCAAGAGTTAGGCGGCATTCACAAAGTTACTTAGGGGCAACCCTGCAAAATTGGCTAATTACAACGTCCATCTGCAAGGCGTTGCGCGCCTATAGGATCCTCGTACTCTACTACCCCGCGGTGTCCATTAGTCTTTCTTTCCCTCCATTCTCCAACTGAGACATTGTTCTAACAGGTACTTTTCTGCCACTTCCTAGTTAAATTAGGGATGCAAAAGTATGACGGTAGACCTGAGGCCAAGAAGTGGTAGAATGTATTAGAGTCACACCGACTTCGTAATGCTGCTCCAAGCGCTCAAGCAAGATTCTGCCCTCTTGAACCTACAGCAGCCTCTAGAAAGACGTGCTCTATAACTTGGTTATGCGTTCCTTAACCTCTTTATTAGTGTATTGTATGTTCACTGCGCTTTCGCCACGATATCTCTTTGTTACTCTCTTCTGTGAGATTAAACATCAGGGCTTTTCTTGTGATATTTTTGTTTCTCGTTCTAAATCAACCCTTTCCCTTGATAATTGTGGCTTGTATTGGTAAATGTTTTGGTATACCTCGAATGTGGTCTCATGCGCTCCTGACAATGACGTTCTAGATCCCAACACACGTATCCTCGTTGTAATGCTCTCGCCCAAATGTGGTATGAGGTCTCATCGTGCCACATTGGGCAGTCATGGGGGGCTAAAGATTTCAATACAAAATCACGAGGGGAGCAAAGACGGTGGACTAGTAACGAAGAGCTTGAACAGAGGAAGCAATAATGCAACAAGAGACAAAGTGAACAAAATCGAAGAGGCTTTGGGAGCTTATCAGTGAATCCGTGCAAATATTTGTTGCCATAACATGAAGACTGTTTGCGTTATCGGTTGAGGCGTCTGTATGTAGGCAATAATATTGTCACATGGAGGGCAGCATCTTTGATTCTTGACCAAGGAGGTACAGAAGCCTTGGAGAAGGTCTGTTTTCAAAGTGAACGAAAGCCCGCCAACTCACTGCGGCTTGTAAAGTTAATCTCTGAAAAAGCGTGGATACCGCATTCACTAGAGAAAACAAGATTGGCCACAGTTTGAGCTCTTTCACTGAATCCGATTCAAGGGGGAAGAAGTGACAAGAACCGCCAACATTCACAGCAACTCCCCTGGAAAAGCATAAAGCTGGGAGTTTTCTGTTCCGTTCAAATACTACCATCACCATCTATCAATAACGCTAAAAGTCTAGAGGAGATAAAAAAAATCTTTCTCAAACCACCTACAGCATGTGCTACAAACTCTACATGGCAGCCGAGTACGAGTGCTTACATCTGGGCGTATTCTGGCGATACGAGAGATGTCAGGCTGCCAGGATTCGCGGACATGATTGCGATCGCGAATACACCACACACCAATGGATTGAAGGTGTTGTCGACACTGAAGGAGGATGCCGCGATTGTCGTGGTGACGGTCTGGGAGTGGGAGAGGTCCGTTACCGTAACGAAGAAGGTCACATTGACGGGCAGAGGTGACCAGCTGAATGTGCTGAGGAACCCGAAGGAATCGAGGTCTAAAGCAACTTTGGGAAGGAAACTGTTGCTACTCGAAGGAGGCTGAGTGTACCACGGTCGGAGAGGGAGATTTTGAGAACAAGACCTTCTGGCATAAGCTTCGTCATTGTTCTCAAAATGGCGAGGGTTGCTTGGGCCGCTGTTAACAGGGAATGGAATGATGCTCAAAGGGAAGGTGGCTATGTCGTCGTTGGCCATCACAATTCAGATGTATGCCGAGACAATTAGAAGCCAATGGCGCGCCACTCAGTTGCCCTATTAAGCAGGTGATGAAGATGACCTGACGGGACGCCATCGGTGCGTCTCTTGTGTAAACGTTGCGCGGGGTTTCTCAGCTGCGGCACGGGAGTGTGCATTGGGTGTACAGACGGGCTCGGCCGGATCGCTAGCCGGGTCTATGTATTGCATGGACCGATGTTCACAGACCCGAGCAATTTAAGTCTGTTTTCAGCGCTTAGAGACGCAGCTGGGAATGCGTGTGAGCAGTAGGTGATGCGATGGTTTGTGATTTATCCATAGACGATGGGGTAGACGATAGGGTAGACGATAGGGTTAGCAGTTAATGAATAATGACATCGTAGGCAGTGATCTAACAGTATTCATGAGCAAGCTACCCAGAGCTAGCTCGGGGTGAAGTCAACCTGAATTGAACATCAGCTACCAGGATGTGTGGTTCAACACGGTTTATGGTGGCGTTGCGGAGTAAACATCGTGAAGGGAAGGTGAGATGTGAACGCTCTAGCTCTCCAAAGAGCGCACTTGGCAAAAGCATCCTGTAGCTGCAAGACATTTGAGCTGGGGAGTTCTGTCAGTTTTCAAGGCCAAGAGATGACACAAGTCACAATTGCCGGCCGTTCCTGGGTATAGTTAACGAGTGTGGCAGGTGAGTGGGGTCTAGACCAGACTTCCCAGAGCATGCCACCATTATCGCAGAGGAATGCGTCACTGATGCCAAGCAGCTGAAGTCCTCTTCCAGAAGGTAATAGCGCTCACTCTAAATCCGGTTCTGTGCAGCTTAGAGCCTCACCTTGATGGCCACCTCCCTGTTCGAGCAAGCGATCGCGTCGTTCCATGTTTGGCGTCGGGCATGGCGCAAATAGCAAATGCAGGGCCCAACCGTCAGCGCCTATGAGATGTCGAATGGAATTGCAATGGCAAGCACACCAAATTTCCCTTGTGTGACTAGACTACTCTGTAAAGGGGTGCCGGTGATGCTGCCGGAGCCTGCTGAGTGGGTTATTGAGAACCAGTGCACCGGGAGTCGATACTGTCAAATTAGACCACCTCTGAGATTGACCGAAAAAGACCTCACAAGTAGACGCCGGATTGTCTAACTTCAGCTGAGGTTCCCAGAGCAGATGAAATGTGGAATCGGGGGTAAACCAAGCGCAACAAGGAAAAGCGCCGGCCATTTGGCCCGTCACCCCACGCCAAGCTTGTTCTCGGCAGCGGTGCGATTCGTGTCAGAGTGCTGTATCTCTGAGGCGGGGTGCCCACGGGCTGAGGCTCCAACTAAGTCCCTTTGCGTCCTCTGAGTCAATGTAGCGCTCCCTTCCTGTCCTACTCAATGTCTTGCCTTCGTGTTGGGTCAACTGCCGTCCGAGACTGTTCTGGAAGGAGATAAGAACGTTAGGTGGCGCGCTATAATCTGAGGGATGAGAAGGTTTCCGGATACGTCGTAGCATTTGATGATATGAAACAAGAATCATAGCAGCAGCAATAACAGGAACAAAGCAGATTAGGGTGCGGAGTTGTTGGTGGTCTGGATTGGGTTCCCCAATGCAGAGCAAGCTTCGCGGGTAAGGGATATTCTAAGCTAGTCCTGTCAGCTGCGTTAAAGCAGACAGACCCGCTACTTTATCGTGTCATGGGTGCCGTCTGGCTATGCTCGGGCCACATAGTGCACCTGTGGTACGGAAGCAAGCTCCCCACTTGCCGCCGGCAAGGAAGTCAACGGGACCCGCTTGGCCGAGAGGGGACCGGGCAGTACGTACAGCTTTCTCCAGCATGTGATTGACCAGGTTGACAAGGCATCTTACCGGTATCTGTCCTGCTCAGGATCCATCACCCTTGCGCTTTTCCAATACTTCTTCAATCATTCCCGAGACATGCGTGTTCAGTTCTCTTTGTGTTGTGATTGAGTTGCTTTGCTGCTGCTTCAAAACCGGAGAATCACAACACAAGGAGAACTGAACACGCATGTCTCGGCCAATGAACCTTACCACATTCCGACCTCCAGCTTGTGGAACAAAGAAGCTGGGGCTTGCTGACAGTGTGCAGGCCATAGTCCGCCAAGGATGTTGACCAGGAACCAGGGGCTCCTCATTAAGGCCATCCACTAGCCTGCGGGAGTTTAGTACTTTGGTTTCCTCGCTCTACAGTAGTCGTATGCGCGCTCATGTCCGCCTCAAGTCCTGCCCCCAGTTATTGCAGCCAGCGACAACAGCAGATCAGCTGCCGAGATCTGTTGTAGGCCAACCGGGCTATCTCGACATCCAGTGAAGATGGCACTACGGCCTCCAATCCTACGTCCTCTGCCTCTGAAGCCCTAGTAGCGCCGTGAGGGAGAAAAGCTCCTGTGGGGCCCTCGCCTTTCCCCTCTTTCTCCACACAAGCTCTTCGCCCTGAGGAGCGTCTCCCTTTCCAACGCCCCAGTTACTCGACTGGTTACATCGACAGGCAATAAACAATGATATGATAAGCACAGACAAAACTAGGACAATTTATAGGGCGTGCCTCCATCGTCGGTGGCTCACCGCATCTCTGCTGTGATTGCGCACACTCATGCGGGGCATCGGACGACTACGAACCGCCATGTCCACCAATAGTTATGAGCCGTAACCTACCGTCGACCTGCCCTGCAAAAGTCCACCATAGTCGCAGACTACGGACAGGCAACAATGTGCTAATCAGCAACAGAAGTAGCATCGCGGCACTTCAGTCATCTGCGGTACCCATTGCGACTTTTTCGCCATCCTCCGCAGTCCTCATCATGAACCGCAGGGTCGCAATTGGCAGTCGATCATCAAGTTAGCCCCCATTCCCTTAGAACATGTCATCCCACCCTGATCGCCAACCGTCGCGCTCCACAGCCTGCATCCAAATGGGGAAGGCGAGATATCAGCTGGGGTTACATCGCCCTCATGTGCTAGGATCGACTCCTCCCCAACGAGCTACGATTCGATGCCGCCCACGATTGTATGTGCCATCTATTCTCTAGGTACACCGGATTGGAGCGCGACTTTTGGTGAACATAGGACCTGGCAAGGTTACAGTATAGATAGAGATCTCACAAGGGTCAGTTGGCTTCCTATTGGCACTAAAGCTGTGATTACCATGGAGGGGCACTGCCAGCAGCATGTGCTGCCTGCTCTTCCTTGGATCTCCTCCCCAGCCAAAGAAAATCCTCAATTGTGGGCCGTTCGACAGGGGCTTACGCGGCGAGAATTTGACAGGGCCTCGTTTTAAGCATAAAGCAGTTTGGCACACCCGTTTGATGATTGTGCTGGACGTTGCGGTGAATAACCGACGTTCAATAATGCTTTTGGCGTCTACTCTGATTGGTGGCTGTCGCATCGGAGAATGCTTCCCGCATCTCATCGGTGGCTGGAAGTCAACAGACATTGGGATCCTCTGCCTAACTGCCGCTGTCGTCGCAGCAGCATTACTATTGCCTAACGCGCCTGGTTACCAAGTCTATACGCGATCGAGTCTCCCCACCACTGGATGCACACATTTCCTGGCCATGATCCTTGCGTTACCTGCTTGTCTTTCGAATTCAAGACTTATCTACTCATTGGCTCACTGCAAGCGTGTGACGACATGATGCTCAAGATGCCGGCAATATTTGTTTGCTGTCCAATCCCCGAGGGCACCCGCAACCATCTGATAGCCTCGTTGCATTGCCAAGCCGACCTAGCATGCTTCCTACCTTGCATGTCTTGCCGCGTCGCTATCATCGTTTATCAACTTCCTATTTTCGATTCAGTTGCACGAGCTTTCGAGATGGTTAGTTTATGTCGCCACATGGCGCCATTTCCGCTCTCCTTCCCTACATTGTATCGTCTCATCGATTGCCCCGTTCACAGTGCAGCCATCATGACCTGTCTGCAAGGTTATTCGAGGGCTTGATGCTGTTGATGTTAGCGTGGGACGTGTCTGCGGCTGTGGCTGCTAGCTGACAAGGACCGAGATCGTGTACGTACTGCTTCCCAAAGAACGCCCCTGAACTCTGTCTGCAAGCGGCGACAAAGCCATTACCAAGGGACTGGATTAGCCAGCCACATCAAACTCGTGGCCCAGAACCATATGGCAACTCCACAAACCCGATGGTGAGACTTAGAGATATATAACTTGCCTGGATATCCCACGATACTCCGTCTCTCTTTACTCACTCACTCCTCATCCTCTCACAGAATCCCAACTCTAGCATCTCGGTCCTCCCTCAGACACAATGGTCGGCTTCAAGCGTTTTGCAATGCTCGCAGCCGCGGCTTGCGCCATCGCCGCCCCCACCCGCCACGAGGAGCGTGCTGAGGCCACCGCCCAGACTGTTGACGGCAGCTACATCATCACCCTCAAGAACACTGTCAGCCCCGATCGCCTCACTTCCCACTTGAGCTGGGTCAACAATGTCCACTCTCGTAGCCTCGACCAGCGTCAGTTCACCGGAGCTGAGCGCACCTACTCCTTCAGCAGCTTCCTTGGATACTCTGGCAAGTTCGACGATGCCACCATCGAGATCATCAAAAACAGCCCTGATGTATGACCTGTCCCTGACATCCTCGTGAGCATCATGCTAATATTTCAATAGGTTGCTGCCGTTGAGCGCGACCAGATCTGGACCCTGTCTGCCATTGTTACCCAGTCCGGTGCTCCTTGGGGTCTGGGTACTATTTCCCACCGCACCTCTGGATCTACCCAGTACGTCCATGACAACCTCGCTGGCACTGGCACCTTCGCCTACGTTGTCGACTCCGGCATCAACATTGCCCACACCAACTTCGGCGGCCGCGCCTCGCTCGGCTACAACGCTGCCGGCGGTGCTCACACTGACACCCTCGGCCACGGGACTCACGTCGCCGGCACCATCGGCTCCACCACCTACGGTGTCGCTAAGCTTACCTCCCTGATCTCCGTCAAGGTCTTCGTCGGCAACTCCGCCTCTACTTCCGTTATTCTCGCCGGTTACAACTGGGCCGTCAACGACATCACTACCAAGGGCCGCGCCGGCAAGTCTGTCATCAACATGTCCCTCGGTGGCCCCAGCTCCACCGCCTGGACTACTGCCATCAACTCGGCCTATACCGCCGGTGTCACCACCGTCGTTGCTGCCGGTAACGAGGCCCAGAACGCTGCCAACGTCTCCCCTGCCAACGCTGCCAACGCCATCACTGTCGGTGCCATTACCAGCACGTGGGCCATTGCCTCGTACTCCAACTACGGCACCGTCCTCGACATCTTCGCCCCCGGTAGCTCCATTCTGTCCACCTGGATCGGTTCCACTACCGCTACCAACACCATCTCCGGTACCTCCATGGCCTCTCCTCACGTTGCTGGCTTGGTCAACTACCTTCAGTCTGTCGAGGGCCTGGCTACCCCTGCTTCCATTGTTGCTCGCATCAAGGCTCTCGGCACCCCCAATAAGATCACCGGCACCCTGAACGGCAGCCCCAACCTCATCGCCTACAACGGTGCTGGTGCGTAAGCAATTCAGTCGATATTTGTCGAGCGACCTCAAGAAAAGCAACTGGGGGATGAGAAGACGTTCTACTCCCCGCAAGCTAGAATTGCTGCTCGCCCATTGTGCATATGAAGGAGTTGGGACCTCCTCATTACGGACGAGTGAGCACGGCTCCCCTTACGATGGAATGAGATATTTGTAGGACATCATGCGTTGATGTCGAACTATGGCTCCCTTTTTAATTTCACAATTTCCTTTTTGAGGACATATTTGATAGGACAATAAAGTTGATGCATCAGAATATAACTTTCGCTTTTGATGTGAAGTCTAAAATCGGGGTTGAGGTCTAGAGCATGGAGATCAATGAAACCCGGTTTTCAACCTATTCTGCTTGGCAAAAATGGCTCAACAGGCATTTCGTACCCGCTTGCAGTACGGATACTGGGGACCACAACGCTTGGCGGCCCCCAAGGATCTCATGTCATTATCTGCCTACAGTACTAGGTCATTAGTTTTTGCACAGCAATAAGAGTAAACCAACCAGTAGCTACAGTGGTGTGATGAGACACAGGAATTAAGGTGGTGTACTGTGAAGTGACTCCAAGCTAATGGGTCCCTCTGTAATCGCTGATTGGGTTATCCTTATTGCTATGAAAAACTAATGAGCTAGTACCGTAGGCATCTGTCGTCTCTTCTAGCCGAATAGTGGAGATGCAACCGTAGCGATCCTTTCATTTGAGATGGTTCTAGAGGCCTCGGAACGCTAAGTAGATGTGGTATCATAGTCAATCTACAGCACAGAAATTTCAATTTCGCAATAAGAAAGTCACAAAACACGGATCATGACATCGCCGACGCACACGTCCAGTCAACTTAGTACAGTGACACACAATTACGTCATGGTTATTGAAATATACCCGTGACCTTTATCTTTAACGACAACGTGGCGGGTTGTTTATACTTTCGTCTAATGGCTGATTGCTTTGCGTATTTTACACGATTTGATCGAATCCATTCTTAACATTCAGGGACGACTTGTAGTACATTGTCCGTTGATCACTAACCTGAAGCTAATTACTACGGCCTCGCAATATCTCTCCCGGCAATCCAAATGAAGAGCCAACTGATCGAAATCATGATTTTTCTCCTCCAGCTCCTCGTCCATCCCAAACTTCCAGAACGCCAAGCAAGCCATGCACTTATACCTGTCCACTCCTGTCGACCGCCAATGATGCCATCGTGACGACCCAGATATGCCAGGAGCGCCCGTTGTTTGTAAGTGAAAGGTGCAGCCTGGGCATCAGAGTTGAGTACACTGGTGAGGTACTCACCCTTTTGCAGTGCCACTTCTGCCAATGTTGGCAAAGATTCACCCTCGATATCGGCTGCATCCCCGAGCGCATAGACGCCCTCCATGGGACTCCCGTCAGGTCTCAGTACCCGAAGATACTTGTCGGTGAGGATTCGAGGTAATCCGCCCTCAGGCTTCTTCACTTCCAACTTGTCTACCAAAGGGTTCACCTTATTTCCAGTGGCCCAGATGAGCAGTCCGTAGGGCAAGCGACCATCTTCTTTGGTAAAGATCGCATCGGCCTCCACCTTCTGGATGTGGGAACCTGTCTTGATCTTGACGTGCTTTCCTTGCAATGAGCTTGTCGCGTATTCGCTGAGCCGGGCGTCGAATGTGGTGAGAATTTTGGGCGCAACGTCGTGAATGGTAATGTTCAATTTGCCGTCCAGATGAGGGAACAAGAAACGCATGTCCTCGAACCATAAGTCCCATAGTTCAGCGGCTGCCTCGATGCCGATGGCACCACCGCCGACGATACGGATGTTGAGATAATCTTCCTGGTCTTGCTCGCTGGTTGTGGGTAGCGAGGCTTTGTCCAACATCTGGAGTATGCGCTGCTGAATGAGGCGTGCATCATTCGTCGTCTTCAAGAAAAGAGCGTGCTCTTTCGCTCCCGGCGTCCCAAAGTCTTGAGTTGTGCATCCTGGCGCAATGCAGATCTTGTCGTATTCGACCTCGAAGTAGGTTGGGTCTTCATTAGCGGTAGGGGCGTCGGTCTTGCACCGAACTATGCGCTTCTCGAAGTCGATGTCCTCGGCGATCGCTTTGTAGTAATCTTGGTCTGTCCTATGTTTTCTTCGGACAGGCTCCTCCGCCAGGCGGAAGTTGAAAAGACCGCATGCTGCGCTGGCGAGTAACGGAGTATACTGGATCGTTCGAATTGGTGAGATGACTTTCACATCGTATTTGTTCAACGAAACTTTCTGAGTGAGGGTGAACCCTCCCCATCCAGTGCCGATGACAACTAGAACTGGTTTCGACATGCTGCTTCTGTCCGCCTGGTGTTGCTATCCAGGTATGCAATGCGCATTTCTTCGCACCGCTGGATCCTACTGACTACTTATTCTCTTCCCGATCCTAGCTCTTACCCGATGCGAACATATCAGTCTTACGTCACGCCTCCTCAATTGTCCATTCGCACCAAGAGTTGTTCGCAATTACGGTTTCGTGGGTTTCTTGGATACGGAACGTCATCGATTTTTCGGGGACTGGGGGCGTAACGTGCTGGGGAAGCTCGGAGGTTGACAGCTCGTACGGGAGCTCTGACTGGGCGAGCTCTGCCTAGTCCGAACCTACACAGATGCCGGGAGATCTCCGTGTTCCACCCGGGCCCACTTTGGGCGGCTGGATTGGTCCGGTTGACGAGAAGGGTTCATCAAGAAACCAATTTCTCGGGGGAGATGCCGGAAGGCTTACATCAGGTTGCAATTGCGGGGAAGGCAGCTTCATGCCTTGGCGAGGTTTCACTGCCGGCTCTTGCGATGAGTACGGGGTTAGAATAAGAGCTCGAGATGTTTAAGTGGAGAAGTGTATGATGATATGTGGAATGCAGAAAGCGCTGCTTTCAAGCTTGTTGAAAACCATTACAGGATGATGTTCCTTTTTCATTGTGATTGCCGTGGGGAAAAAAAGTGGCAGTGGGGAGGCATTATAAATAAATGAGTCTCCATAAATAGTTTTATTTCCTCGCCAACTTCTCTCTTCCAATGCCTGAGCTGCTCAACGGTTGGAGCAGTAAAGCGAGTTTCTTATTCCATCCCAGTGTTCACACCCAAAACCTACAGATCTTCATAATCCTCTTTAGCATAAACATCTCCATCCACAAAAGTTTCCCCTTCAAGCAGAGAATTCCCCGTACGACAAAAGACCAACATCCAAGTGGTTATACATCGATCCTCTGTCTTTATATTACAGGACAAAACACGCCATCTGATCTTCTGCCAAACCAACATTTAATTAAGTCATTCAATTACAGCCTGCGATTCCTTCACTATACCGGTGATCCCGACCTAAATGTCTCGGCAGCCTTAGTTACTCAGCTTCCCACGCCCAATGCCATGTCAAAAAGGGCAACTAGAACTAAGCAGTTCTATATCATTGGATTTATGGAAGAGTCTCCCTAAGCCCATACAGTCTCCGGTTGCTAACACGTCCACTAATCTGCAGTCTCGCTCCAGATTATCATGAGATAATCATGTAATCAGTATTCTATAGGGTTAAAAATCCCCAACCCATGGGGACTCATGGATACCCAGATGAATGGGTTGGGTGAATGGGTCAACCCATGAAATGGGTTTTTTGGGTTTTGGGTATTTGGGTATTCTTTTTTTTGGGTATGGGTATGAAAAGTCCCCAAACCCAAATGATAAGACAAGAATGGGTTTATAGGTTGAGAATATTTGCTGTGTTTTCTGCTTATTACGTGACGGATACCCAGAATACCCATATCCAGGAAACAGAAATCCCTATTTGGGTATAACCCAAGAACCTATAACTACCCATAATCTTGAAAAAAACCCATAACCCATTTCAACCCATAACCCATATGGGCCCCAAAAGAATCCCCATGGGTCGAATGGGTTAGAACCCAAATGGGTACCCATGGGGATTTTTAACCCTAGTATTCTATCTATCCAAATTTGTTCTGCAAGAGTTTGACGTCTGATACATGACTATTGAAGTGGAGAATATTTTCTATGGCACGGGGTCTCAAGTGTTTAGGGCTGTGTGCTCTTCATCATTGGAGGTAATTGAAGCTGTTTGAAGCAACTACTAAAGAACCAGACAAAAGTGGTGACTCACATGTATGCTGATCGCGACTCAATCACAAGCAATGTCACAGACCTCCGTTTATACTGAAACGAGCAAGACCATAAGTATGCTGTGAGTTTGAGAAATATTCTGCCCGACTGCTATGTCGCGCGCCAGTGTTACTGCTGCATAGTATCCATTCACCAAAAGCTGGGAGGGTATATACCACGCGATGGCTCTATGACGGCTCTATTTTTATTCTGTTTCGTGGGCAAAAATATACAGCTCGTCCAGTAAGGCGAGTTTGGATAAGGAAGTACTATAAGGCTGTGACAATACACATTCATCCATCCGCTTTTTGAGCCACCAAGTAGCAATGTCGCTAAGTTTCTCTTAATCCAGAGTGGGCCCCGCTAACAAAGCTGTAGGACCTGGAGAACGCTGATGGAGGGAAATAGCATGGTTCTTGTCACTAGTTGAGAGTGCATTTGCGCGGGCAGTTGATCCCTCTTGCCATGATGATGTGGCGAATCATGGCTCTGCCAATTATGAAGTGCCAAGCAAGGCTTCACATCTTCACTCTTTGGGTCGTGGTGGACCTAGAAATTTCTGCCCCAGAAGGCGGCAGTTGTATTCGGCAAACCTCGAATTGGGTCCAAATTGACTCCGAATTTCGGGGCACAGTTTCAATTATTGTCATCCGAGTATTTGAGTCAGAAACAATACTCTAGTCATAGACTTGCAGATTGCAATTCTAGGACTGTCTCCCTCAACTCCAACCTACTTACCCTATTTATACGCGTCGCATTAGGCCAAGTCAGCGACATGCCATTCTTAGAGCCCCAGCCCAAGATCCTTATAACCGGGGCCGGCATCGGCGGCCTGACAACGGCACTTTCTCTACACGCCGCTGGCTTCACAAACATCCACCTTTTCGAGGCCTCGCCACAGCTTACCACTCTCGGGGTTGGAATCAACGTTCAGCCTTCTGCTGTACTTATTCTTCGCAACCTCGGCTTACTCGAGGCTCTCGAAAAGACTGGCATCAAGACCCAAGAGCTGAACTTTTACAACCGCCATGGACACCCCATTCTCAGCGAGCCAAGGGGCCTCAAGGCGGGTTATACAGTTCCGCAGCTGAGTATCCATCGTGGTGAATGCCAAATGCTTCTATTGAGCGCTGTCAAGGAGCGACTAGGCGAGAGCGCAGTCAACCTCAACCATGCCCTGACGGGGTTCTCTCAGGACTCTAAGAGCGTCACGGCCGACTTCTCCCAACGTCGGGATGGCGCGCTGGCAGCGCAGTCCAGCGTAACGGGCGATATCCTGATCGCCGCCGACGGAATCAATTCGACCGCACGGAGGATCCTCTACCCGAACGAAGGCCCGCCACGATTCTCTGGCCGCATGCTCTGGCGCGGCTGTTTGGAACGCGTCCCGTACCTCACCGGCGCGTCAATGGTGTGGGCCGGCCACGCCGACCAGAAGTTCATCGCCTACCCGATCAGCCAACGATCGGCGGACAACGGCAAGAGCCTTGTGAACTGGATCGCCGAACTGCGGATCAGAGACAAGAACGATGAAGATCTTACGCCCCCAAAGACCGATTGGACAAAGGCCGTCGATAAGTCTGCGTTCGAGAGCCAGTTCCGCGAATGGCGATGCGGTGGCCTCAATGTGAAGGACCTCATCGACCAGACGGACAAGGTGTTTGAGTTCCCCATGAGCGATCGTGATCCGGTTGAACGTTGGAGCTTCGGCAGGCTTACCCTCCTCGGGGACGCCGCGCACGCCATGTACCCTATCGGATCCAATGGCGCGTCGCAGGCCATCATCGATGCGGAGACGCTGACGAAGCTTCTCAGCGAGAACCCGGATGATGTGGAGGGAGTGCTGAAGGCGTACGAGGCTAAGAGATTGCCGGCTACAGCCAAGATTGTGATGGCGAACCGGGGTAATGGACCGGACCACGTCTTGCAAATATGCGAGGAGAGAGCGCCCGATGGCTTCAAGAATGTGTACGATGTCGTTCCCAAGGACGAGTTGGAGGACATCGGGAGGGTGTACAAGAAGGTTGCCGGGTTCGAGATGGAGAGTGTGAACATCAAAGCTAGAGAGACTGAGGGTGCCAGTGAGAGATTACGACTGCAAAGTCCCAAGGATTGGATTTGAGCGATTCAGTATCTAATATCAGAGAGTGGAAAAGAGTAAAAGTACATATAATCCAAAGCACAGCGAACGACTACGGATGACTAGCTCCGAACCTAGGCGTTACCCAAATTTTCCTTCCTAATAATTACTCTTCTCACAGCCGTACGGTCGCTATAGAAAGCGAGTCGAGGACTCGCACCAGAGAATTATGCTAGTTTAGAAGAGGGAATGTACACGTTTGGTTGCACAAAACGTTGACAATAGATCCTTGGGGGCAAAGACGAGACTTCTCTATGATCTCAAGAATAACCCCTTTGGATGAGTTCATGCAACCATGGTTTCCCTAGATTGGGCTGCTCACTGTTTCCGAAATGTGAAATTTGAGAGGTGTAACTTGTTTGTCTACCATTTTGCATAATGATTCAGTGTTGTTGTATTTTTTACCAGTAGGTATTATTGGCTAGGAAAGCCGTCAGTTGATAATGTTCTCTGAACTTCATGAATACGAGTGGAACAAGGACTGAGCAACCGGAAGGCATATCACCGATCGGGAGGGACCGAGGTGCTCGGATATGAGATTCACGAATTAGAGCCGAAAGAAGCACCACGATTTCACTTCCGCATTGAGCGTCACGTTCGCCGAAGAAAAGCAAGACAGTGATCCATAACCCACTTTCTCCCAAGTTGCGAACCAAAGAGAGCATTTGACGACACCGTATCTATGAGACCTCGTCAAACCGCAGTTAACTGGATAGTCATCATCGGGGAGGCGGCACGAACTCCCACTTTGGTCTTGGCAGAGAAGAGCTGCCGACACAAGGCCGGTGGTGGTTCTTAAGGGTACCATTTTTAATCTAATCACCCCGGATGCGGAGTTGTCACACGGTAATACACTGGGTACTAGCGGGTGCCCGCGTAAGAGAGGGCAAGGGTGGTAGTGTTACCATTTCTCGGAGGCTCGACTCCCGGGCCGGCATGGGGCTCAAAGTCCGGTGATGCAGATTCGTGGAATATGACCCCATTGTTTTCGCCGGTAGTTCGAAACATCGTCTTGGCCTCAAGACTATTGGCATTCTCATTTTCATTCCATCGAGATTCTGGGATAGGATCGTTGTGTGTGCCTCGGAAAGACTATATAAGGATGAGGCTTTCGAAGTAGAGTTGATAACCTCTGGTTGATAGCCAGAACATAGGACTCGTTAGTCAGAATAGCCTTAGTGCATCTTGTTCCAGTCTCCGATAGCATCTTCTTCTCTCGAACGCAAAGATGAAGCTCTCTGCTGTTATCGTCGCCTTGGCTGCTGCCTCGGCCGAAGCTCACTGTACGTATCCCTAAGCAACACACAAGCTTACCTTACAATAAAACAAACTGAACTTTTGCTCGATCAGACACCTTCGGCCGAGTCGTCTACGGCGGAACAACCTACCCCGAGTGGCAACACGTGCGCAAAACGCTCAACTTTTACAGCAACGGCCCAACGGACGGCGTCTCGTCGACCCAGATCCGCTGCTACGAGGCCGACGCAAAGGACAGGGTCACGGTGAAGACGCTCCCCGTGACGGCGGGCTCTACGATCGGGTTCGCGGCCAACTCCATCGTGGGACACCCGGGGCCGGCGAGTTTCTGGATGGCAAAGGTGCCGGCGGGTCAGACGGCGGCGACGTGGGATGGCAGCGGAGCGGTGTGGTTCAAGATTTACCACGAGAGGCCGACGATCACGAGCAGCGGGCTCGAGTGGGCATCTTTCAGTGAGTTCTCCATATATTTGTCCAGGAAAACCCTTAGAGCTACGAGGCGAGAAGGAGAAGCAAAATCAGCGTATGGAAAAGGGCAACGAAAAAATCAGATGAAGAAAAATCGGAAAGAAAAAAAAAAACCCCTCAAGCCATCCCGAAAACCGGATGGGATGAGAAAAAGCTTGCAGGTTTCAAAAAGAAAAGGGGCGGCCAACGTTCTGTGGGAATTTGTGGAGAGTTCGTGAATCGCGCCGGCTTTCCTCTGCATAGGGCTGATTCAGTCGACCAACGTGTGGATGCGAATGCTAACGAGAATCCCAACGTCACAGACAGCCAGGTGCTCTCGGCCAAGATCCCGTCGTGCATCGCGTCGGGCGAGTACCTCATCCGGGTCGAGCACCTGGCGCTGCACGGGGCGGGGACCGAGGGCGGCGCGCAGTTCTACGTCGGGTGCGCGCAGGTGTCGCTGTCCGGGGGCGGGAGCACCAGTCCGTCGGGGCTCGTGTCGTTCCCTGGGGCGTACAAGTCGACGGACCCCGGAATCCTGTTCCAGCCGTACTGGCCGACCCCGACGAGCTACACCAACCCGGGTCCCGCCCCGTTCGCCTGCTAAAGGAAAAACGGGCCTGGGCTCCACTTCCCGTCGCAGGGACCGTAGGGTATATGGTGTGCATCCGGCCTGCCTGCAAGGCAACGCAGCGGAGGGAGCGAGAGGAGGGTGTGATTCAACTAATTTCGGATTGTTGAGCTTGATTCAGTGTCAGTGGCGGTCTTTCTCCAACGTCCGACGCCGCCGATGCCATGGGACGCGATGAATCGAACTATAAGCGGATGCAAACGCGGGGTTCGGCACACTAGCAAACAAAAAGAAACAAGTGAACAGACACCCCAGGTCACCCGCAGAAGAAGGAGCTGGAGAAATGGAGCTCGACTCGAATTTGACGGGGAGGAGAGGCACCTAAGCGGACCAAGCGGACGTTTGTCTCCTGTCCATTGCAATTTAGCTTTTGGTCCCTTCGGTTAGGAATTTCGATGGACGGTGCAGGTCCGCGCGTCGCTGCTTGGCGGAAACCAAAGGAAAAGATTCTCGCAGGGGGAGCCGCCCATCGCCACGCCGCAGGGATGGCGTGTGGTGGTCAAGAATTGCGGGGATTGCTACGTCATGCACGCGTGAGACGTGGCGTCGTCGGAACTGCTGAGAAGATCATCGTACCTTCCATCCTCCTCCTTGGGCCTGTTTTGTCTGGTCTGTGGGCGTGTGCATCTCCTCCTTGGGCGGTCACGCCCCCGGCCATCTGTGATGCGTGTTGCAACGCCTGTTGGGCCCGATGTTGTTTTTGGGCGTCTGCTACCTTGCTGAGCTTTTGCTCCGTTCGCTTTTCCAGTACAATACACTAGTGCAATCATGTTGAAGTAATGCCTCTTGATCGAAAGTGATCTGCGATCTGCATCGATGACCTACCGTCGCCCTGGGGCTCGCCCATAAATACGTTCCGCGCCGCGGCAAGCTCAACTCCAAAAGCTGCCGTTGCTATTTGCAGTACTATCCCACTCTTCCACCATCCCAACTCGACTATTCGCGCATCCGCACACCACATTCACACAACACATGCTGTCGTCACAGTCGATTACAGCGCATACCAACCCTCTTGCACAACCACATCGCAAGATTTCATGATGATGTCTACCGTCACCATGGAGGAATACGAAGCGCCATGCTTCTCCCACGAGAGCATGCTGACGCCACCCGAGTCCCCCGAACACAAGGGCCCCGATTTCCCCGGCGTTGCCCAGCTCAAGCCCCCTGTTGCGGTCGACGCCAACGAGCCCCGCCGCAAGAGCAGAAGCCCGTCATCGAAGCGGTGGAACGGCGACGGCAAGGGCATCCAGGTCGACATTGGCGCCCGCCTGCGCGAGTACCTGGACTGCCTCAACAACCGCAAGTTCGATGTCATTGGCAACCACCTTGCCGACCCCATTGAGCGCAACAACCGCATCCAGACCCGCGAGGAGCACATTGACCGTCTGCGCTCGCGCGTTGAAGGGCTCGCGACCTTCCAGATCAAGATCGACACGCTGCTGGTCGACAAGAAGGCAAAGGCCGTTGCTGTGCGCTACATCAACCGTGTCACGTTGGCCGACGCCATGATGTATGTCGACACCGTCGGCAAGACGTACGAGTTCGACGAGCAGTGCTTCGTGTGGTTCGACGATAAGGGCAAGATTGCGCGGATGCTCACGTTGCAGGACAACGACGGCATCCGGCGGCAGACGCCCGAGGCGGGCGTGACGCCGCGCTTCTTCACACGGAGCACGCCGCAGGAACCCGTCGACCTGGCGGCCGTCTACCGCAAGTACGTCTCGAGCATTAACCACGGCACCATGAGCAAGGACTTCCCAAGATACTGCAAGCGGGAGGTGCGCCACAACAACCGGGTGATGCTGGTCGAGGAGTACGCCCGCAGCATGCGGGTCAGCCAGGAGGCCATCTCGGGGCTGCGGTTCGAGATCCAGGAGCTGTTGGTCGACGAGGAGACGCAGCAGGTCGCTGCCAGGTTACAGATCACGGGTACGCCGGTGTCGGAGTTTGCGGGCGCGACGCCCAACGGCAAGAGCGTCAAGTTCCACGAGCACTGCATGTACCGCTTCGACAAGGGCAAGATCGCGCTTGTCTGGGCGACGATGGAATTGGACTCGTACCGCAGGCAGCTCGAGGAGAAGCCCGACCGCAGGAAGTCCTCGATGCTGGGCATCAACTGAACGGCGGATTGAACTTATATTACACAACTGTATCATTAGCGATGGTTTTTGTGCTGGATATTGCTTTGGGAGACGGGAGCCGGAAAGGTTCGAGCGTGGCGCCTTGACGCTTGGAGTACTGGATCTTTCTGGGTCACGATCGTCTTTAGTTAATCATAGTAATATTCGGTTGTCTTTTTCAGCAAAAGTGTTGTCCATTGTTAATAATGATAATCTCCACATCACTCATACCACAAGTATAACTTTTACGCGATGCGGATGACCTGTGATTTCCCAATATGCTGTAGCATCCCGTCGATGACGCTTGGTCTGCTGCGAAAGCTCGCCACCAAGGTGGTTTCCATAACTCAACATCCCGCGCGTAGCATTGTAACTTTTACTGGCAGTGTTCAGAGTTAAGGTTCCTTCCATCAGTAAAGTCAATTCAGCATTTTCCATTCCTGAATCATTGACTTTAACCATGTCCGAAGCTCAGCCCCTAGTACCATCCAATATCGAAGAGGATTAGGACCACTGAGTTGAAAGGCGACTCGCTGACCCACTTACTACGACCAGCCTATCCAGCCAAACCTTGCACCCCCAAACCGCCACCAACGTTACACAGAGAATGCGTGTGTTGGGGCTTAGGGGTCCATTTTCGGGTGGTCCAGCACCCCATTTCATGTACCCCAAGACACCCGTTCGAAGCACACTCACCATAGGCAAGATGTACCTGTGGCTGTATGTGGCGGTACAGAGCACAAGCACTAGTCAACCCTGACAGGCCGCTGACACCACCGCCAAGGCGGAACGGCAGTGTCAAGGCTGGAGGCATAGCGGAGGTAGGACACTAAACAGGAACATCGAGATAGTGAGTCCAGAATCAGGGCGCATGCTCACGATCCCGTATCCTGGATGCTACAGAGATTTTAAGAGGATATGCGGTCTGCTTTAGAGATGCAAGAGAATAGGCACAGGTACACTGTACATCTAGTTTATTTGTAATTTTATTATTCTATTTTTATAGTTGTTGGTAACCCTGGCTCCTACTACTATCTGTGATAGCACACTCATGTATAGTTCTAAGACATAATAAGGCCATAAACTGGTTAAGGCTTAACTTTACCGCTAATAGCTCTGATAATAAGAAACCCTTGAGCCTGAACTATGGCACGAGGAAGAATTGGTGAATGTTTGGGAACAGGGAAACTAACGGCGTTTGTTGCTGCTAAACTATTTAGATAGTTATAAAGTCGATATAGCTTAGCTCTAAAATCGCTAGATTGCTTTTTTTTAGCAAAATTAAACGAGAAAATGACTGGAAGACCCTTCTAAAGACGCTTAGTTATGAAAACAAGGGACTTAGCGAAACCTTTTTTAACTTCTTAATGTAAGATTCTAAGCTACAGAAAACAGGGCAGATTATCAGCGCTAAGAGCACTATCTGGGTTTATACCTAGAAGCTTAGCGGGCTCTTTAGGAAATATACTGGCCGGCACCTCGATAAGTCACTCAAGGATCACCTCCACGGTTACGCTCAAAAGTACATCACGCAGAGATACAAGCTCAGAAGAGAGCCTAAAGCAAAGCCATCCATGGGTCCAGACTTCTTCATGTACCATATCCATTTCATATAGGTGCAAGATACCTCAACCTTCCATATCGGACTCGACCGACTTGACGATGCGTGTGTTCGTCTTACGTCTATGTTCACAGGCTACAGAAGGCACGAGCTTGTCTACTCTAAGCCGAGCAACAACAACGCGATTGTTAAGAAGTTCGACGATAAGTCAGATGCCTATACTGATATAGAGCACGAAAACGATGGCCGCTCGGCACGGCCCGGGAAATGCTGGGTATGCGGCCAAGCCGACGAACGGACGCAGAACCCAAAGCTGAAAGTTCTCTGTTGGGAGGATATCGACTTGTGGATTATCCGCGATCCAGACGGCAACGGCGGCCGCGACCACCTCGCGATACAGATTCTCCTCCGGTGGCACAAAGGCGAAAACAAGAAACTCGTTTCCACGTGGTACATTTTTGTGGAAGAGAAATTGCCCGCCTTATGCCCAGTGGCTAACATTCTAGCCAAGGCACTTGCCGAAGGGGTCATTGCCAACGAGGAATACCAGGACAAGGTTAAACCATTCTTTAACACTAAACTCAACCAGAAGGCCGTTAGAGTCCGTTGGAAGCCTGAGTAGAAACACAAACCAGTCTTTCGGCAAACCCTTAATGCATTCGGCAAGCAGTCAGACAACCCGCTCACGGCAAGGGTGTTTGACAACCACTCCAAATGTTACGGTGTGGTAATGGGATTACTTGACAATTTAACGGACTATTTATACCGGCGCCGCTACACGCAGTGCGTCGATAGTGAGCTCACCCTTCCCTGCTTGTGAACCGTTCTAACTGCGCCGTAGCAAACTATCGTCGGTCTGTTCGTGATCAGGGCCTTTGACATAAACCGAACAGTAGCATCTACTAGGAGTTTTACTACAACTCGAAAATGAACGCCGTTGTGCAAGACGCCTTTTTAGGTTATAGAACTAAATCTCCTTATCTTGCCATTTTCAACCACATGGGCCTCCGCTGCAACAAAAACGCCCCCAAGACTGTGTCTGACGAAATGATGCGCGAGGTTGGTCCTAACCAGGCCGTTCAGCAGTTGGAGCAGGAAACAGAAACCTACAGGGCCACTTTACAAGCACAATACGGCCGCCTTAGTCGTGCCTCACCCAACGAGCTCAAGATGTATGAATCGCAGGGTGCAAGGCTGAGGGCTGCACGGCAGAAGCATCGGCACAAGGTATTTAAAATCATATATTAGAACTTCTTTAATAAAAAGGATAACGATAAGCTCTAGAAGCAGCTATAACATGTTCATGAGCCTTAGGTAGAGCGCAAAGTGGCCCAACACCTGCCCGCGCAACAGCTTCTTACAGACATCCTAGGCGATATGGATGAGGACCTTTCTAAGGAAGACATCGTGAAGAGGAAGATCGATGCTATTAACGCCTGGGTAGCTTATGCCTTTGTGTGAGAGCCTGTTTGTCGTGCCACCTCGAAGGTGAAGCAAGAAGTGGCTGTTACTTCACTGCCGGAAGTCAAGGTGCTGGTTAGATCTAAGCCCCTGATTACCCTGAGGTCAACGAATACAATGCAAAGCATTTCTCCGAGAGTTGAAGCAGACGCTCAGAGTCCCCCTCCACCTCCGTAAAAAGAGGATAGTGCTGAAGGGGAGGTCTCTTAACCTATCTCTGGCCACAAGTTACGTTCTACTCAGCGTAGTCACTGCTTGCCAACAAGTTCTGGTAAAACAAACCCTTGCCTCTTTTGCGGCAAGACGTATACACGAACTAAAAAGCTTTAGGATTATCTGGAAGAACACCTTATTTGCGCTACAGAAGACTTTTACTTATACCCCCTTCTAGAGTACAAGAGGAACGGAATCGAGCTAGGGGATCCAGAAAAGTTCAAAGCTTATGCAGCCTACTATTATTACTACTATTTTAGGCCAACTACAAAATCTTTGACCCAGAGCACCACACTATTGACGGATCAGACAAGATTACCATCTCAGATGGAAACCGTCACTGAGACATGAGACGACACGCCTCTGGATTCAGAGGGGGGACAGTCATTGCTGTTAGCTCCCGGGTCTTGGCGATTGATTGTCCAGGCCACTGCTTCCTACTGGACACACGCTTTTCAGGAAGAACAGGCTTGATATCTGCATGCACAGAGAAGTAGTCATAAGAAGGGAATGCGATGTATAGAAACATATTAGAGCTAGCTAGAGAAACGACCCCTTTGATAGGGAATACATATTTAAATAATTTCTAATTAGTAGCTACTATGCATAGAACGCGGTGTCCTTAGGAATCTTGAGTCTCTTTACTATTTTCTCTTGTGCAAAGCAAAAAACTGAATCCCTAGCTACTTATATGTAACTACTATAGAGAATTAATTATCCTTAACTTTTAACTAAGGCTAGTATCCTAGGAAATATATATGGCTTTAGTATAAGGGACTGGTAGCCGAAATAGTAGTGTATTGGTGTGATTGGTATCGGGTAGATACTGGGAACACGGTACTAAGCGAAACGGTCACTAGTAACGTGGGCATTGTGTGTTAAGGATATTAGTAACCTAATATTAGGAGTCCCTAGTGACCAGGAACCGAATTAGAATATGTTACCTGTGACTAGTATTAGGACTACTAGTGTTGATAAAGCAGTTGTGACTAGGATTCGCGGTGAATGTGATACTAATTACGAAGGAATAGAAACCTGCCGTTACCAGGAATCCGTTACACAGGATAGCGACGTGACTGGTACTGTTTCCAAACGAAAATTGTTACCTGTGTGTGACCGGTATCTAGGATCTGGGATCTGCGGTGTGACCAGTAACCCACAGTCCTGCCTATAAGAACCACTGGTAACAAAACAACTGGGGTCGACGGAATCGAAGTGCTGAAGGTCACGGATACTAGGATCATGATGCGTGGGAACCACTATAAGTGCCTTATGCGGCGGTCACTTTATGGATGTGTGACTGATTACTGGAAGGTGCCAACGACGCTGTTCTCGATAGCCTATATGCTTGGTTGCTTATTATGCGGCAAGACGGGTACTGGCCTTAGAATGGAATAAACTCATTACAGGGCGAAGAATAGAGATCCTTAGAAGTAGCGTTACTTACTAGTCATCTCTAAAATATAGTGGATGCAAAGCGCATAAACTCAATCCATGTCTACGTAACGCGTCTACTTCACATAGGGTTTTGCCGATACTAATTAATTTTGTTTCTTAAAGACGAAGATGAAGAACTCAGTCGTTCTGTTCGTGTATATCTGTCTGTCTTGATGAATCTGTTAAGGCTGAGATGCCTTCTGGTGGCAGAATACAAAGAATGAGGAAAAAAGAAAAAAAAGAAAGAAAAAAATGCTGCTTAGGGGTAATAGGCTCTATAGCGCCTGTGTACAACCAAGGATGCTAAGGGCTAAATCCCGCCCCTTTTTATGTAGGCAGCGCCACGTAAATCCAAGGAAAATCAAGGAGTGAATAGGAAATACAATTAAGCCAGACTCCTGTGATGTTAAATAACAAGGGACCTTGGTTCTATCCATCCCACTATCATCAGTCACTTAGTCCATATGCCCCTTTTGATCTATGTCACAGAACCAACATCTATGAACGACTAGGACAGCCAGTTATAAGCTCTAAAGTCTATGCCAGTCAAGTTACTATGCCACTAAAAACATTCAAAGCCATTCTCATCGTGTGGTCTCACCTAGGTTTAGTGATTCGCTCTAAATTATCTCTCTTAATGTGTGAAAGACATATAAAAGTCTTTTTTCCCTTATTTAAAACTAAGTATTACCACATAATAAAGGATAGAGCTTCTAGAAGTTTACGTAGACGGCGTTTCCTGGTTCCTAGAGCTCTACCCGGGGTCGCTTTCACTAGAGTCGCTTTGATTAGGTGCTTCTCCATAAGTTTGCGTTTCAGACATCATGTTGGCTAGCTCCTCTTCGACATCATTGTCGTCGACCTGCATTCCAGATAGCAGGTTGAAGTCCTCCGCCACTTGTGGTGCATATGCCGCATCGAATTGCTCCTGTTGGATGAGCCGATCGACCATTTCATCCACTTGCTGGTCCTCCAGTCGCTTCTGCATCTTTAGGTGTTTGTAGTCCCACTCGGCCCCCGCCGTCAGGTAGGTCAGGAATTGGAAACTGTCGAGTCCAAGTTCTACTTCGTTGTTCACGAGACTTCCGAGTCGATACCATTGGTACTGTCCATATGAAGTACGAATGTCGATATACTGGTCCATATCCCCTCATCTGCTCCTCGTTCACGAGCCTTCTCTCTTTCCAAATCGAATACGCCGTCGGGGATGAAATGCTCATAGAGGGTATTTACCCCATATCGGGAGGAAATCGACACCGATAACCCTAACATCTCAAACGCAAACTTGCGCCAAATTAGTGGCAGCGCTTCGTCATCCTCGTTCTCATCACAAAGGCGCCAACTAACCATCAGCCCTCTTCCATACAAGCTACTATCAGCCCTCTCCGCCCTGTTTATATCCAGGTTCTATTACTCGCTTAAGAGAGTACATATCAAGGCAAGCATATCCTACTAACAGATAGGCCTAGGCAGATTCTTAGGCTTATCCTTAAGCCTATTAATAATAATAATATAACAGGTATAATAAGAGTCGCTAAACCCTTTTAAAAAGTACTATAATAATATTTTTGCCTTATTCAAAATAGTTAAGCAGCTCTAGACTTCTTATTCATAATAGTTTATATAAGCAGCAGCATACTAAAGGCAATATACATCTTATAGATTTTACAACATACGTTTAATAAGACGAGTATACTAAGGGCTCTCTTGTGAAAAGAGAAGGTTAAGCCTTAGCTCCTTAGCAAAATATAGGCTCCTAGTCTTAAACAGAGGTAAAAAAGGTATAATAAAGACCTCAATTCTATCTAGCAGTCCAAAAAAGCTATAGTTATTCTTAGTACCATAAAAAATAAAGCAGGCTAAGTCCTCAGCACGTCCTAGGTTAAAAGCACCCAAACAAATATCATAAAAGACATAAACGTACACCAAGCACAAGGGAGTCAAGTCGGTATTATCTAGGGTATCTACGTAGACCAAGTACACTACAAAGGCCAGGATGCCATCATAACTAGGCGCTAAGTAAACGATGGTTCTAGGCTTTAGTATAAGCTTCTTTTAAAGCGCCGGCCTATCAAACTGTTATGGCTGCAGCTGCGGCTGTTCCTCGTCCTCCCGGTCGTCTTCTAGTTCTGGCGTAGGCGAGGGTTCCACGAAACCAAGTCTGCGGCAGCCAGAACACATTGTTGCGAGTCGATGAGCCGTGATGCCTTCCGTTAGGAAAGGCTCTTCTTTCCCCTCGGTCCCCCTTGCTCCCGCCCCTCTGATTGGCTAGCGTTCTCGCTTCTGATTCGCCTGCTCTTCGGCCCATGATTGGCAGTTCAAAAACCATCAGCCATTGGTCGGTGGGAGGGGGGGGCGCGAGGGGAGGGGGCTGGGCCTACCTCGCACCAGCTACGCCACTAGCCACAGCGTCTTTCTTAACGGGAGGCCTTTTCAACAGGCGGCTTGCTGCCGTTCCCCAGTCCTTTGACCCCTCTTCAAGCATTAGTACACAAATACCGTTACAGAAAGCTTCTTGAACTTGTTTCGCCTACAAACGTCTGGGTATCGTTGAAGAGCCCCCAGAAAGCCCAGGGGAAAATGAAGATGAGGAGGAGGAACTACAAGATCAGGGGCCCAGGCATCCCCGAGCACAGTGAATGTCCACGTCTCGCGCTGCAAGCCCTTTATTTGTGGCATATTTTCGATGTTAAGAATCAGACCAAATTCTACCTGGTTATCATGTCAGCAAACGAAGCGACATCTCCAAATAGTCGCCAAGAGATACAAGTCCCGAATAATTATGAGCCTTATGCTTCGTCTTTCATGTTCTTTTCGTGCTCCCGTCTGACCCATGCAAGGGCTCCTGTCCTGATCGCATCGATCCTCCCAGGCACCCGCAGCCTTGTGTTGATGATGGGGGTCAATTGAGCACGCCGCTGAAATGAAAGAGGCCGGCGTCTAACAAGCGACGACGTTGTTCACTGCGAAAGGGTTGTCGGCCGTTCCGTAGCCGAAACCCTTGTGATCAGAAACAGGCTGGATCCCTAACTCGCGGGTTGTCGGGTGATGAAGATTGATGCAAATCCTGTTCTCGTGCACAGTTATTTCGTGGAGTCGTAGGTGAGACTGGCATAGCCGAAGATCAATGGCTCATCGAGGGAGGCCTGCTGCCTAGACAGTGCCGCTGAAAGATTTCATAACGCTGTTCACACTGTTGGGTATTTTGCTTCATCACCATACAGCCTTATGAGTTATTCGATTCCTTGATTAGTATTTGCCATGTATGCTATGGTCCTTCAAAATGGTTATCAACTTCCGAATTTCGCGGTGCTGCGATGGTTTCGGCCAATCTCTCGCTTGACCTCTTGAGTTTCGAATGGTCTTGGGGAACTATACGATCAGTGGAGATTGTTGGGCGGCGGAGCCAAGTCGGCAGAGATATTGTTGGTGGCAAACTAGAGACAAGGGAATAGCTATACAAAGTTCGATGGAAGATTAAAGTGAGTTTAAGTGGCGTCTCTGGGTAAGATTTTGACACACCACTAGTAAATCCGCCATCTGCTATTCGCGCAATAGTGCCTTCCGGAGTTGAATTCATGAGCAATCTAAGGTCGACCTCAACAAGCTCCCTGCTCGAGATTAATAACTCAGGAAGCTGATTGGCTGGATGCAAAAGTTTGTGGAGTCGTGCTCCTCCTTATCTACCCACTGTTAGCCCAGTGACTCCTATTCAATCGGAAGCGAACTTCCACTGATGTTACCAAGTCTTTTGCTGAGTCCAACGAAGCTGGGAATCGCAAAGTCGCATGTGACTCATACTGGTCTTATTCTTTCATCTTAGATCCAGTGCAGGCTTTGCTTAGCACTGATTTGGGTCTTATCGCAAGTAGAGGAACTTCCGATTAGTCCGAGATTCGGTGCAAAGGCCAGCCTGTCTTGTTTTGAGCACGTCACCGTGACCTTGCGAATCATGGCATCACGGGAGCGCGAGAGCAGAAGGTCCAATGTCCGAAGGACGAACGTGACCGCTTGTATGCGATGCCGATCTCGGAAGCAACGATGCGATCAGAACATACCTGCATGTTCCAATTGCGAACGAGCTGGTGTTCCCTGTGTGAGCACTGACATTGATGGTCAAGTCGCTCCTCGAAGGTCGGTTTCCTCAATAGCAGGTAAAAGTACAAGGAAGACTGAACTAATTGATAGATTTTTAGTTACATAAAGAGTCTTGAGGATCGGGTAGCTCACCTTGAGTCGCAACTTGCTAACCGCGAAACCCTTCATCTTCAATCAACTTTTACCGATTTCGCTTCGAGTGGCGGCAGCTCTTTATCGAGAGACCCAGTGGACCAAATTGCATTCCAAAGCTTGGAAACAGATGCTTTTTACAACACCATAACAACTCCAATCGGTCAGTCACTTGTTCGCTCGTTGCTAGCCGAGCCGATCAGAAGGGTTTCTCAGAGGTCTAAACAAAGCGATCATCACTCACTGCTGGATGCACTACCCAATGCGACTGAAGCTGCTTTGCCACAACGAGACGTTGCTGTTCGATTGGTCGATGCCTACTTTGAACACTGCGAGTTCTTCTCACCAATAATGCCGTCAAAGGAGGATTTTCATGCTACGATCGCACTCCTTTACAAGGATGGCCCGAATGGCCATAGCCCGACAGACCTTGCGATAACCTTGGCCAGTTTCCGTGCTTATGCAGTTTTTGCCACGGCTGTTTTGTTGCTCAATAGGACTGATCCTGCATTCCATGTCTCTAGAGCAGAAGGTTATTTCGCCACGGCCACTCGACTCCTTGCCCAGAATCCAGCCGTTATCTGTACCGGTGATCTCCAACATCTTTACAATCTGCTCCTCGTGGGACAGTATACTTGCTTTGTTTCAAATCTGAGTGGAGCATGGCATTTTATTGGCCTTGCATCGAGGCTGGTCATTGAGCTGAATCTCCACGATGAGCGTGCTGTCGCTGCGAAACTTGACCATCATCAACTCAACCAGCGCCGGTGGCTATTTTGGGCATTCTACACGTTGGAAAGGAACCTTTGCGTCATAATAAGCAGGCCCTTCTCTATCCCTGACGAAGCTATTCATACTCCGCTGCCGGAACTTTCAGAATGCGCCGGCGGCAGCCGGGCTCTAGCACTACACTTGATCAAGCATCGCAGGCTTGAGTCCGAGATTTATGTAACACTAAACCAAAACCCGCCACAGAGTGGTGCGTCCGTCGATATTATTGCTTGGAGGGATGGCATAAGACGGAGAGTGATAGAATGGCTGAGCTGTGCGCCAACGTCAACCGCTCCATCAACACAGTTAACACCCTCAGACATATTCGAATCTATCTTGCACAACCATCTAGTTGTTCTCTATTACCCTTCTCAATCATTTACAGACCCTTCAGAGAATGATATTCTCATTCTTGCGCAAAGTGCCGCCGAGTGCATCAGCAACTACCGCCGGGCCTTCCGAGAGGGACAGCTCCGATTCTTCTGGCGCACAACGCATAACCTCTTCCGAAGCGGTGTCGCTATGGCCTATTGCGTTCACCTTCAAGCGAGAAACCACTATCGCGATCTCAATCAGACGGACATGATTGCGTCTGTCAACACCTGCATGTCTGTGCTTTGGGCCATGGTCGAGAGATACCCGCTCGGGTCAGTGTATCGAGATGCTTTCGAGAACCTAGCGAACTCTGTTTCAAAGTCTATGGATGTAGCTGGAAGTTTGGAGCATACTCAGCTACAAGAAGCGTCTCTGCTGGCATACGATACATCTATGTTAGCAGGTATGGCGTTGCAACAAGCATCCATACATGATTTGTATTGGGGTTTTGGGAACCTAGAGTAAGTAGTTCGAAACAATATGAAAAAGTCACCATCAGACTAGTTGTTTTACGCGCATGAAATTGGCCAAATCCAGCTAGTTGCTTTTTCTCAACTTAAGCCATCAATGTTTTCCAGCGTTAGAAGGAGAGCGCTTTAGAGCTTATATATGGCTGAGAAAACTCAGGGTGGGCGATGATAACGCGCAGGATCTGGCTGGATGGAAGAAAGAAATCAACAAACCAAGCACTACCCATACCGCTGTTGCAGTACGCCTTAAGTCTGCCCACCTGATGTGACTTGACTTCATGCACGGCTCTAAGCAGCCTGCTGCCTGAGGCTTCCTAACGATGGAGTGATCACAGTTCATCTAGGGCCCTAGAAGCGCTTCTAGGCTGGCATAGTACTCTGATGTTGTTGCTGCCCTTGTTACTTTGCGATGTTGCACCTTGTACCTTAAACAAAGGTGGATACGAGACTCTTCTTACTTGATCAACGAGGTATGAATGATAACCACTGATCTTTTGAGTGGGATATTCTTATCTGATTGTCTATAGTCAAAGCTATTCTAATGATGTTGCAATCATAATCCCTCTCTTTTAGCTTGCCTCAATCAGGGCAGATGTAAGATGATAATGCTTGCCTAAGGTTGGGTTGAGAAATCGAAGAGGAGGAATAAGCTAGCAGCAGAATGCCATGTCTGTGGACGCAGCGGGTTGTACCTTGCCCTTTTCCGGCAATATGGGCCACTACCCATTTACTTAAAAATCTTTGAGCGGATCAGATGGCGCAGGGTCATTCTTCAAGCTTTTCTGAAACTCTGCTCTCAGCTTAAACATCGGTTGTAAGACCCAGGTGTTGTAGGCTAAAATGTCTACCTCTTCCTTGGGGTCTCTAACAACGTTGAAAAGGTAAGGTGACTCAAGCTTCCCACTCGACTGGTTGACCTTTGGCTCCCAGACAAGATGAAGCTTCCAATCCTTCCATTTGATGGAGCGCAGATCTTCCTTGATATAAAACAGAAATCCATGTCTGGGTGATGGTGTCTCCAGAGGCTTCAAGAAGAATTCCGTCTGGTCTACACCATCGATTGGCCGGTCGGAGGGCACCACGGAACGGGTCATGGACAAAATCGTTGTGAACAAGTCAGTCACGTGAACGATACCGTTGTGAGTCACACCCTGAGGAACATGACCTGGCCATCGAATGATGAACGGGACCCGGAGACTGCCCTCCATGGCTGTGTGGTATGTTCCTGACCACGGCCCAGCTGTTCCTCTGTACGGTTCTCTGAACTCTGGTCCGTTGTCCGAAGCTAATATGAAAATCGTATTTTTTTGGATTCCCAAGTCATCGATGTGATCCAGAATTTCGCCAACACGATAATCCATCTCGGCCATTGAGTCGGCAAACTCACCCTGACCTGTGCTACCAGCAAAGTCCTTGTGCGGGAGTGTAGGAAAGTGCAGATGGACGAGTGGGTGGTACAAGAAAAACGCCTTCTGAGCCTCGACCTGCCTGGATAGCCAGTCCTTCGACTTCTCTACCAGCATCTCGTCGATAAGCCTGCGCGTTTCCAAGTCGTAGATGCAAACATTCTCCGAGGATTCGCCCGCCTTCCCCTTCATGATGTATGGTAGCTCAGCTACCTCCGGGGTGTATCCAAGCGCGCTCGTAAATTGCGTCTCATCTGTAGTCCTCGGGATCCCGAACCACTCGTCGAAACCCCTATCGGACGGATACCGGCCGGGGATGTCGCCGAGGTGCCACTTGCCGTGATGTGCAGTTGCGTATTCGTTGTCTTTAAGGCATTCGGCCAAGGTCTTTTCCCACGCCGTGAGGCCTTGAGGGAACCCAGCGGGCACGGATTGGCGGCATCCCGTACGAATCGGGTGTCGGCCAGTCATGAGGGCGGATCGGGTCGGGACACAGTCGCTTTCGACATTGAAATTGTGCAGCAGAAGGCCTTCAGTAGCCAGCTTATCAATGCGTGGTGTGGCTGCGCCACGAAGCTCGCCGCCGCCATAGCATCCCAGCTCTCCCCAGCCAAGATTATCAGCTAGAACAAGTACGACGTTCGGTCGGGCTGGATCTTTGGACATTATATGTTGCCTCGTGTCGTATATTGCGGCGTGTTGAAGTTGTAGGTAGTAGTAAAGAATCTTCCGCCTTGAGAAGCAGATTTTATACCTTGAGCCCCGAGAAAGATGGGAAATCTAGAAGACCTTTGCAAAAGAGAAATGGCGTAAATTAACTTCCCCGGCCAAACTTGAGAAAGCATTGCTTTCGGCCCCACCCCGAAGACATCAGAGGAGCTAACGCTCACCTCCGAAGGCCACCGCCGAAAACTTCTTCAATACTGGAGAATGCACTTTGCCTTAACCAGCGTCAGTCGCTCATCACCGCAGGTATCATCCTGGTTAGCCCAATCTTTTGTTTACGTGCTTTACGCCTTGAAGCACGACTTCGCTGCTTGCTGATTCTGGAGAACGACCTTAGATGTAAAGATAGGATTATGGCATACGGAGCAAAAGACAGGAACAAACCAAAGGGGTGTTTGCAGGTATAACTAGCGCAATCCCGTCATGTTATTTGCGATTATATTTTCATTAATTCTCAGTCGAATTTGTAACACTATTAGCACGTCGGTGGTCAAGATGTCCACAGATATCCTTGCAGAGGCTCGCCCACTCAAGGCAATCGTTAGTGACGCCGAGAAAATGCCATCAAAAGCCCCCAACGACGTCGAAATCGAGTTTTCGTGGTCCAAACAGGAAGAGGCGGCAGCTTTGCGCAAGTATGTAGCTTACTCAACCCTGTGCACTTGAATGGACTGACAGGTCAGACTGGATTGCTACCTTATGCCTCTATTAGTCGCTGGCTTTTTCGTCCTCCAGCTCGACCGCAGCAACATCAGTAATGCCTTGACGGATACTATCACTGAGGACCTTGATATCACCAAGAACGATGTTAACGTCGGGTCTCAGCTTATGTCCGCTGGCATTGTCATCGCAGAGATCCCTTCCAACCTCATCCTGCAGCGCGTCAGTGCCCCTATATGGCTCACTTTCCAGATGGGCGTCTGGGGAACAATTGCCTTGACTCAATCCTGGTGCACAAACATCAATTCCTTCTTAGCAACAAGGTTCTTGCTCGGTGTGTTCGAAGGCGGGTATATCCCTGCTGGGCAGTATATGCTGGCCCTGTTTTACACACGCGAGGAGTTGGCCCTGCGAACGGCCATATTCTACTTTGGTAACTACTCAGCCACGGCTAGCGGGTCTCTTATTGCAGCCGGGATTCTGAACTTGGGTGGAACGATGGGACTTTCTGGGTGGCAGTGGTTGTTCATCGGTTCGTCACTCTCCCTTTCCGTCAATGCTTTATTCTCCGTCTCGATGTAGTCGCTGACCTCTTGCAGTCGAGGGAGTAACTACTCTGGTTGTTTTTCTCGCCTTTGTTGCTTTTTTGCCTCGTAGTCCCGGACACACAGCCCCTGTTCACGGCTACTTCAATTTCTTTAGTACTCGCGACCGCCAAATCCTTCGCGCACGCATCATGGCTGATGATGAGACGAAGGGCGCAGACAAGGCTCATATCACACTCAAGACCTTCGCTCGCGCCTTGATAGACTACCGTCTCTGGCTGCACATGCTTCTAAACGTGGTTTCCCTGGCGCCCAAGGGCGGTCTGCAATTATATGGCCCGAACATCATTAAGAGCCTCGGATTTTCCCGGACGAATGCGAATCTCCTCAACGCTGTTAGCAGCGTTCTCGTAATGTTGCTATCATGGACGATTTCCTTGGCCTCAGACTGGACACGCTGGCGTGGGCCGTGGTGCATCGTCGCTTTCTCCTGGTCGATTATTTTTGCAGGGGTGCTATACAGCCTTCCTACGGGATCGAACAAATGGGCGCACTATGCGATCTTTACGCTACTCAGTGGCGGAAACGCCTTGGCTCAGGGCCTGAATGACGCCTGGGTAAGCATCAATGCCGTCAACCCCTCGAAAAGGAGTATCGGTCTCGCCATGGCTGTAATGGGCAGTAATTTGGGTGCTATTGCAGGCGGTCAGTTGTTCAGAGAAGATGACGCGCCGAAGCACGCGAGAGCTTTCATAGCAATTTTGTCTCTTTATGCAGCAGCAATACCTGTGACGTTGGCCATCATATGGGTGTACTGGCAGGCAAATAGAAAACTAGCACGTGGAGAGGAACTAAAGATTAGTGGGCAGGTAATTGCAGTTTCAGAAGGAGGGAGAAAACGATTTGATTTCTAGGTTTTGTTGGCTAAAAGGAGAAAAGACTATGAGGGCTATTTCGTATGTCAGCTTGAAGGACTTTGAAGGTTTAATGGAGCTATCGATGTTTCAATATTCAATGGAAGAAAAAATGAATTTTTTTTTTTGAAAAAAATCAATGCAAAATGGAAAAAGTCCACAACCGATTATTAGAACGAGAGGGGTTGCCACCGTTATTTATTTGGCACGGGTTTCTCCTCTTTCGTGTTACATACTTTGGGTCGGTTTCTACCCATCTACACTGTTTAAAGTGACGCACCGCAACATCGAATATTTGACAATACAAAATACAGCCACGAGTGATGTTTTTCGTCCTGATTCACCTCATCAAGAGCAACAACAACAACGGGCAAGAATCTGGTATGCCGCTCCTTTTGGGGGATTTTAAATAAGCCTTCGTCTACGACGCAAATTCGCCGTGCCTTGCACCACTCTCAATACGAGAATTACTAGCTTGGTTAAAATCAATCGAGTATCGCAGCTACCTTTGGGTCGGGCCCGCATAAAAGGAGCAATTTGTGTGGGCAAAGGTCGTTGTGGATAACAGTGATTGGGATGTCGCCGCTCGTCCATGCCGCATGCATCGTGGAACTTGTTCAATACGTATCGCCTATGAACGGCCTGACATGCTCTGGTAGCTTTTTGACGTACACATAGTTCAGAGGACATTCAACTACACTGCTCTTGGCAAGAGCCTTTCACATGTTTACTACCGCTGTCAGCTCCTCGCATATGGCGCGTCGCCCAAGTTCATTTAAGCACCCGAAACTTCAATGCAGAGTAACGCCCTCGGCTAAAAACCTATAAGGCAATGTTTTCCTCTCATCTCCGGTTCAGCCAAAGACATCAGGGTTGGTACATGTTCTTGCAGTCGTATGCGTATCAGAACTTGAGTCTGAGTTCGATAACAGTGACGTCGGCTCCATATTTGACCACCAAACCAAGAAATGGGACAAACGACAGGGTATGAGCCATCTAAGGAGGCGGCACGACAGTTTCTCTATGACTCGTTCAAAGCTTTGTTTTCTTACAGCGAGGGAAGCGCAGGCGCTATTTGTCCCTTGAAGAAGATAGATTCAGAGGAGGTCTTGGATGTCGATGGCGAAACAGCAGATCAGCGTTCGCTTGAGTCAGAGAACTCCTCAGGCCCTTCTGAACCTAGAGGGATAGTAAAATCATTCAAAGGCTGGAACTTTCACTGCGGTGTTCATTACTGAATTTGAATCTAGTAAATAGAGTGTTATGACCATATTGGGGACAGTCTCTCGACAGCTCATAAACATTGTCGTCGTTATGGCATGTTGTAGCTAACCAACAACTGGACCTAGCTTGGATTGGGAAATACAAGCGGTTAACATATAAGCAGGGGGTCGATAATGCCTAACGTTTCATATCAGTTGATGAGGTGGTAAGGCAGACTTACTTCCCAGTTTCGCTGTTGGTGTGTTGTTGGAGCGGCACACCTCCTAGGCCAGTTGTTGAGTCCATCGTTTGCAGTGCACACTTTCACAAGGCTGCCCATGACAAGGGTGTCTAACGGCCTCCGGTCTCGATGGCCTGTCAAGGAGCGGCGCAGCTTTTCCAATTGCAAGGAAACAACAAAAACAAGATAAGAATCGATTTCCCCAGAATTTTCATCTTTCGATAACATCAAAAAGATCCCAGACAGCGTTGCATTGTCAGACGGCATGGGTGGCTGCCGCGACAATCGGGACGCTCCTTGACGTGAAACGGACCTTCTTTTCCCATTTTTCCCTAGACAATTTTTCTCCAGCTTTCCAGATATAGTAGTTTCGCGTTTTTCTTTGTGATCTTCTCAGTATGAAGCAGTTGGTGCCTGTCTGCGGGTCAAAAACCGGTCAGGTCGGCTGTGCCCCTGGATCAAACAGAACTCCGTGAGTCGGTCACAGCTTATGAGCCGCAGCTGCCAACTACGGATGACAGCTAAAACCTGAACCTTACATTGAAACTGTGACTGGTTTTGGAAAAACACCCGTTCCAACCGCAGCTAAGGTCTGCAATGAACGAGCAGGCAGCAATATCTTTTCCTCGGGCAGCATAAATATCCTCCCAATCCCCCCCAGCTGCGAAGAAACAGTCTGGACCTCTCTTCTGTTCTTTCATCGACTCCACATATGTTTCCTAACCAATCTCACAAACATGACGCTTCCAATAAGCCCATTGGACGTGCCGTTGACACGTCGCCTCCAGCAACAGCTAGGTTACGGAGATACACATTTGCCAAGATATAGAGACTTTACCAAAGATGTTTCTGATTTTCGGAAAACATTCGTGAGCAGCCAAGGTTTTGAAGCAAACACTTTGGTTAATTGGGGCTCCCTCGATCACCAAGTCGCTCTACAAGAGATGGCCGACGCCTTTCTGGAGCGCCATGACAATGGTCGCTTTTTTTGGCCAGATGATGGCCCATCAAATTTGCCAGCCTCATTGAGGTACTCAGCCGAAAAAGAAAAGTAAGCAATCGCCCTTTCATAGGAAGAGCTGCCGCACTAATCAAAGTAAAGAATCCGAGACCTTTTGCTTCAATTGTTCTGGAGGAAGAACCGTGATAGTCAACGCAACGCCAAGTACGCAAAGAAGAAGAAGTCAAAAGGTAATGAATTCCATGTATGCGACAGAAGAGGACTCGACCCCAAAGACCAGATAGCTATTGATATGGGTGGCGACGGATCTCCATCCGCGAAAACTTCCCTTAGGTTGGTGACAGATTACTATTTCAATCTCCGCTTAAAGTGGATTTGCTCAATTCCCTTCCAGGTCAGCAACATTCACCAACTTTGACAGCCTTCCAGAAACCCCAGATGGAGTCTGTTTAGGCCGTATGACCCCTATGCCTGATCTTCCATCAACAGAGGAAGAAGATATCAACGGACACGGGTACCATGATTATGGAAGTCCAGAACTAGGTGCTCAGAACGCATCCGTATGTGGAACCTGGTTTAGAATCACTTTGATATGTATCTTATGGTATCTAATCAAGCAGCATATGGTAGGCGCGTCCGGTTGCTTCGTCAAGCTTCAGAGAGAATACACCTCGATTTGCACCCTACGCAGATATGCAGGCCTCCACTGCACGAGCAATGGCCGATGAGCCAACCTTCATCCATATGACTCCCTCAAAAAGAGGACGCAAAAGGTCTGCTGCTACAGAGTCCAACAGAACATCAGCTCGTAAAACGAAGATGCGAAGAGAAGACTATCGCGCAACTCCAGAGCAGATCGAGGAAGCTCTTCACTCCCCTGATCGCTCACCATTCGCAGGAAGTACCGATGCAATCATAGCAACCAACTATGCTATAGAACCCTCAAGCAACTCACTTATAACCCTCCATGAGTCAAGACCCAACCCCAGAATTACGACGGAGAACCCCATCAACCAAGACGTCACTGATGTACCCGAGGATATCGCACCTTTCCAAAACAACAGCGAAGTAATGGAACATACAGTGCCACGAAGTGCAGATGGCAACGAAATTTCGCGTTTGACCAAATCGAAGCCAGCTTCGGCTACTTCTGTACGCTCGACTCACGTCCCCGCCTCTGCCAAGTCCTTGCGTCCCTCGATGACTCAAGATCAAGAACAGGATACCGATATTTCCAGTTCAAAACAACCAGAAAAAGCACCTGCTACTTTTCCACCCAGAAAACCGCGAGTTGAGTTCATGTATCGTGTGATTTCTCGCCATCCTAAACGTCAAAGCATCTTCTGGATTCCAAAAGGGAGCTTCCGGAGCAAAACTCTCGTAGAACTACAAAATGAGCACCCGCTGGATCTCGATGCGTCTCACGCTAAATTTCTATGCTTCTGGTTAGAGACAACCGGAACACGGGCGGAACACCTGGTCGACCTTGGGCGAGAAGACCAATTCGATGCCATGAAGCAACACCTAGTGAGCTGGATTCCAAATTGCATTTTGGAGAAAGCGAATGGCGAAGTAGTCCTTGTGCAGGTTGAGATTGAAACATTGAATGACATGGATTCATTAAGGGCGAGAACTGATGAGGAGGCGGTTGACTCCGAATGGTAACGGTCTCTAGGACGACCGCAGTCTAGTATGGTTATGAGATCTACGAGTGAATCAAGTGTCGGTCATCTGTATCAAACTTCATATATGATCGACCAGATAATTATAGGGTTGATCGGAAGAAAAATCCCAAGCAGAAAGCAATCGAACAGTCATGCATATTATTACTTTCTCCTCTAGTCAAGGGAGCCTTGACAAACTCAGCTTCTCCAATAAGTCTGCACTTATTTTCACTTTTGCTCATGGTGTCAATTGTAAATTCACACACGTAGTCATGAAGAAGATCCCTTGTCTCTTAGCGCTTTATGCAAACGCACTAACGGGTCTCATTGTCCTAGGATAAATGTCTCACTAGACTTTGTTGTGCGAGGGTTTAACTATCTGATCTCGAGAGATTACTTCGGCTATTTCGTATAACTGATGATTTATATGCAGTTCTTCTGCTCTTGATTTGTGGTATCCAAAAGGCGTACTCAAGTCCCATTCGAAACGGCTGGTATTCCATCGCATTTGTGTCCAGACGATGTTAGGGAACATGTGTGTTATTCGAAAACCGATAGGTTAGAAAAGTCAACAAGCCAAAGACGATATTATCATCGCGTTACCCATGCGCTTGCATACTATGATACCAGATCTAATATAGTCTCACATTGACGGAAATGTGTTCAGCTTGCGAGATGAGGGCGTCAATGTGGCTCTGAGAACCGAAGGGTAGGTTCACGGTCGAGTCTGTAATGCGTGTGGCTGTATTAGCTTGCAGACAAGTGATGCCTTGGTCAACACATTGGGTCTTAGCCTTAATGCATGGAGGCGATAATGTAATATCTATACATCTGTCACATACTTTCTAGCTCAATATCGCCTCCGCTAATATATGAGGTTGCAAGGACAGGATAGATTCGGCATGTGTTACACATCGTCATTAAATTACCTGTCGTGGCCAACCAAGGTTTTATAGATATCTTTAGCGTCCCTCCATACCACATACGACCATACCCACTGGAAAACTCGGGATCCCGTCCGCTCTCCCATAGATAAGTCATTGAGGGCCGGATTAGTAGTTGAGTCGGTGACGATCAGCGAATACCTGGTGTTGTATGTTTTTTGTCTCTGCTCTAGAAAGATCCCATGTCCTGTCCAACTTAAATCAACACCTTCCAGACCATCCTGACCACAGACCAAAATCTATTACTTAATGTCCCTACTGCCCAAGACATATAGAAAAAACGCTATACTTTTTGTCGCTGATAGTGTGGTTCTGTCTCCTGATAACAGCATTGTTGAACTGTTCCGTTCCCGTAATCTGTGAATGTAAGCCCCTTGGCATCTGACAAACTTTCTTAGCAAAATAGAAGCTTTCCGGTTTGTTGGTCGGTATGTAGCAGTCTAAAAGAGTCTTGGTAATTAATGAAGCACGAATGGGACAACAGAGTAATAAACGCAAACATATATATCGTCTGCAAGCTCGTCAAAGCTATACATATCACTTAATAGCCCTACTTACTAAGCACTATACTTGGTAGACCATACATCATGCATATGGCAAACAAGCCGCCGTATTATCGGCTTCAGCGTGGGCTTGGGCACCAATGGCACAGGATAGCTGGCTATACAGTGTAGGCTAAATGAAATGCGCATCGTCAGCGGGATCATCCTTCCACTTCTCGACCAGTCAACCGGCGCATTATGTAGACCAAGTATCTCGCCCTGATTGGACAACTCTCCGCTTCTGTCTCCTACCTGCACATCTTCTACCTTCCCCTCTTCTTGCCTATTCTCCAGCGCCCAAATTAGCACGAAGCCGCTCGAAAAGGCGAATCAAACCAAACGCAAATCAAACGCACCATATTCTGAGTAATTCAGTAGAAGCACATTGTCTTCATTACCAGATTCGGCATGTCTATTCTGTTGGACAACACTATCGGTTGGGTTTGCGCCATCAGTACTGAATACGTTGCCGCGCGAGCATTCTAGACTCGATGCACGAGCCCCCCGACTATGTCGCTTCCCACGATAGCAACGAATGTACCCTGGGTCGAATGGGGAAACACAACGCGGTTATCGCAGTCCTTCCAGATGCCGAGTATGGCTTGTCAACGGCATCAGCAGTTGCCAAAGGCATGCTGACCTCTTTCCCTAATATTCGCGCGGGTCTCATGGTTGGTATTGCAGGTGGAGCGCCAACACGCAATCCTGACCGTGATATTCGCTTGGGAGATATTGTGGTTAGCTCCCCGCGTAACGGATACGGTGGTGTGTTCCAATACGATTTCGGTAAGTTGGTGCAAGATCAATCGTTCCAGCAAACCCGGTTCCTAAACCAACCCCTTGATGTTTCGAGGGCTGCCGTGACTGGTATGAAAGCCGAGTTTGAGGAGAAGGGCCATAGAATTGATGAAGATATTAAAAAGGCCCTCCAAAAGACGCCCAGGTTACGATCAAAATACAGCCGACCTCCACAGGCGGCCACTTCAAACATGTCCGAATTACGAGAGTGAAACGCTCGATTGGCTAACATCGAGGCTCGAAGAAACGCTTTAAGAAGGCCTGCAAGACACATCTATGGAAGATCTACAGAAAACAGACATTGTTTCTAGTTCTAGACGCACTGGACAAGTGTTCGGTAGACGAAGACATCGAAACATTCGTCCCGTTACTCGCCAAGCTTGCAATGTCTAGTGTCTGCAACTTCAAGGTCTTCCTGACTAGTAGGCCAGCAGTGGCTATACATTACACGTTCAGCTCTATCGGTGAAGTCTTCCAGATCAAGCTCTACGGATTGGGACCTCACTTAGTGTTTGGAAGTCTTCCTTAACGACCAATTATCGGTGATCAGAGAGCGATGGAACACTCAAAAATCCAATGATCCTTGCCAGCAACTAGGCGACACCTGGCCGGGCATCTCAAGATTGCAAACACTAGCTGATATAGCTGATCGTTTGTTTATTTTCGAAGCTACCACCTGTCGTTTTATCGCAGACCCATTCTATAGTCCAGAAGCACAACTAGCCTTAAAGGCGCTTTGGAAAGTGGCATCAACGACAGATTAGCTCCAACATACCTTCCGGTTCTATGGCAACTCAAGGCAAATAGAACAAGTCGAGAAATAGCTGTTTTATTAAACAGATTGAAAGTTGTTGGTACACTCATTCTTCTTCAACAACCATTACCGGTAGCCTCAATGGCAGGCTTAACAGCAACCGATGTGATCGATGTTGATCAAACATTGGTTTCCCTTATCTCGGTGATTGACATTCCCGAGGATAGGATATTGGCAGTAAAGCCTTTCCATCTTTCATTTCTCGATTTCTTACTCGGTTCAGAGGCTGGAGACTTTTTTATAGACTTCACGCAAACGCATCAAAAGATGCGTTTGATTGCCTAGACTTACTCGGAAGAAGGCAGCCTTTGCACCATAACATGTGCGATATACGACCAGGAGATCACTGATCTGTAATTCTGGAGGCTGGTACGAAAGCCCGATTCCCTCCTCATGTCCAGTATGCATGTCTTCACTTGGTCTATCACCTGGAGCAAGCGAACGCCAGCCTTTCAGGCTACGATTCAAATGATCAATTCCTACAGGCTCATCTACTTCATTGGATTGCGGCCCTTAGTCTTACGGGGAACTTTGATAACTTGATAGGCATGCTTCATAGGTTGAAAAGACTAACAGATGTAAGCCCTCAGGTCAGTGTTTTGATGGGGTAAACCTTGCATCCTCTGACTGTTACGAATAATAGTTCCCTACTAGCCGCAACTTCAATCACCTCATTGAAGACTCAATAAAGCTTATCGAGCTCAAGGGTTCAATGTCGTATGACAACAATAATCTTCGGAGTTACGATGATTTTCACTTAAACTTCGAACGTTATACCCCAGGCGTCAATTATCCGCTGCGAGAACTCATACAGTTTCCTTTTCAAGTATACTGGTCAATCCTTGTCTTTTATCCTGTTGAAAACGCAGTTTACAGCACCTTTGAGAATGACATTCGAAAGCTCACATCTAGCCAGATACGGCTGAGCTGTCCTGGGATGCAAGAGCCTGAGGAACATTTACCCATCAAAGAAAGCCTTTCATTTTCTTTGGAGCTAAATTCATCAACGAGTGAAAACAACGAAACAAAAAGCTGTTTCGTTGGTGCTTTAAAGGGCGAGGAATATGTCCTTTCAGCCCACAGTTGGGATAAAATCAAATTATGGTCCCCCAAGAATGGGCAACTTATCAGAGTTTTTTGAAGGCTTTGAAGGGGAAATCTTGCCACGAAGCATAACGTTGGCCATCAATTCGGAACATGTTTTCGTATCATCCTGTGATGGAAGTCGCTATCTCTTGTCTCTCATGGATACCGATTCTGACAAGCAGAAGAAACTTCTGGCCCCGCTGACAAGTCCTGTCACTTTCTACCACACGGCTTATGGCATGCAAGCTTTTCCCTAGAGTCTAATTTGATTGCAACATGTTCTTTCCAAGAGTTGAGCCTCTGGATCATGGAAGGGGAAAGAATTTTGCGCGATTCTGCTGGTTTTGGTCTCCCCTCTTGCGCTGTGTCAACAAACGGAGAGTTGGCGGTATACACCGTTGTGGAGCCTTCCGGAGTGGGTAGCCACACAAGGGCACTGAATCTTTCAAAAAAGGAATACACGGACTTTCCGACAATCGGAGCCCAAGCATCGGCGCTGGCAATCTCTCCGAGCTCAGCATGGATAGCATCACTGACGACTGATGCCAATTTTGGCAGCAAGCGATCACATTGTCACTTTGGAGTATTCATGACAGAGTTGAATGGGTGTTACAAGAAGATATGCACATCTGAGATACAAATAGAGGCCTTGCGTTTTCCTCCAATTCACTAAAGCTTGTTTTGGCGGATACAAGCGGATTGATCTACGTTTGGTCGGTCTCTTCATGCCGATGTCTGGCCCTGCTTAAGGTTGGGCGTGGGATTGAAAAGTTGTCATTCTCTTCAGATGACTTATTTCTCGTTACGGAACATTACAATATATTGACACCGAATACTGTGTCTGACATTCCCTTGGAATTCTGGGAGCTGAGGGATATTATTGGCGTGGTAGAGAATCCGCAGTGGCACGGATGTGGGACCAGTCGCAACGGACAAGATAACTTGGCATAGGCGTAACATTATAGCATTGCCACCCGACAAAGAAGCTGGTATTCAGGCTAGCTGTATGACGGCGGTGGGGGAAACCTGCGTTGCATGGGTTACAGCTGAATCGAGAAGGCTAAACACATTTCATACTAGAATCTGTTTATGGACAATATTACTTTAGTAGTATTACTGTTTGCGTTAGTTATTGCAGTTGTAGGTACAATACGTACTACTTTATATTCTATTAAAGTTTTAAATTTAACTTTCTTAGCTAACCTTTCTGTCACTGTATCTTTTCCGGCAGCCGTGAGGCATTAAAGGGGTGACCCTGGTCTTGTTATGTTGTTAGGTCGTAACACCTGGCTTTTAGCAACATCGACCATGTCAGTCCATCTATCCAACCCACGGTGCTGAATTTTGTCCCCCGTTCTCGCTCCATAAAAAAAGACTGCCAACGCCGATGACTTCCAGTTATGCAGTTTCCTGCGGCTCGACAACATCATGGTATGATAGAAGAAGATATACGTAGCCAGCTGTAACGCGGCCGGCAAGATTATCCAGGCCCATCGGACTCGTACAACGACCTGCATGACCGTTTCCGTGGCCAAAATGCTCTTGAGAGTATCATTGCCTTCATGTGTCGGGTCAGGCATACGTAACACCGTCGACATGCCCAGCGCGATGGCATCAAATATGTCCTGCATGTCGAATTGGGGCATCTTGGGCGGATCGTGCCGCCGCGCCTTGTTATAAACGCGCACCAATGTTGGGTTCTCGGCGATTGGAGCCCATTCCTGATACCATTCAAGGGTGGTAGCATAGCCGTTGAAAAGGTCTTTGAGAGACTTTTGAATCAGTTCATGAGCGTTCATATTAACCAGAAAAGTGCCATTAATCCATCGGAATGGTTAATTGCCGTATTCTTCACTGTTGTGCAGGAAAAGGGAAGAGTTTGATGTTGGTGGTTTAATAGAGAATATTCGACTGTACGGTTCAGATTCCACAACCCCGGTCGAAAAAGAGGAGATTATCGTCTCGTTGAAGATTCCGGCACTGAGACTGCTTTCGTATTTGTTCACGCACCAGTAGAGCATGCACTCTTGCGCTTGCCCTTGGATACCAATGGCTCCGGAGGGCTGTTGATTTTCGTTAAAGGAAGTCACTTCCCACCCGGGCATTATGGCGGTTAGGTTAAGAATAGTCAACCGGTCTCTCGTGTCCAGTCTGCTTGTGTTGTCCGAATTCTTGAGGGTGAGGACATTAGTACCTCTCACTAAGACGCGTGTCCATCCGGTGTCCACGCCGTTCGGGAGTGACCACAACCAACAAAATCCATACTCGTCACAGTAGTCCGCCGCGTCGATTGACTTTTCAGGCGGGTGGAGGATGTCGGTAATGTTGGCGCATTCAGAGCAGACTGCAAGCGACTCGCTGATCCCAAAGGAAACATTGCCGCCTGACGAACGCGGGTGGAGCTGGAGTGCGTTACGCAAAGTCGTGTCCGTGAGGTCGCCGTGGAAATAGAGTCCCTGATAGATGTGGGGGCTGAAGGTCTCGGGGGCCTGGACGAAGCCTTGATGGAAGACTGTGCCATCTGTGCTGTTCACCCCCGTCTCAAAGATGATACGTGAGGATATATTGGAGGTGCCAAACGGCGCTGGAGCAGATTCGAATGTTGTGATCTGCTGGATAAAGGGGTCCATGGCAAGGCTGAGAACTGTTATGAGTGCGCCCAGCGACACGGCATCGCTTGCATTCGTTCGAATTAGCCCGGCCATAAAAGCCATCTTTAGCAATTTGCCCAGACGTACCTCCATCCTAGAGAGAATAGCAACGAAAAAGAACCCCATGGGCCTCTACTTGCATTGTCATGCATCTCTAGATCGGCTAACGGGTGGTAGCCATCATTTAGTCGGACCCATTGCCGCTGGCTGATCGCCGCACTGACGGCTACAGCTAGAGCCGACCTTGAGACAGTAGCAAGAGCGGATATCAGCGCGTTAATCCTTATACCGAATGGCCATTGGGGCAAAGGCCGATTGCCGTGGAGCAAGAGCGTGATAATGATACCCATGAGACAGCCGGCGCTAATGAAAAGGGAGGATATCTCGAATACCCAGTTCTCGCACCACCATTGGGACAACTCATGAGCACGACTAGGCTTGGGTTTGCGCAGATCTGCCTCGCTCTCCGCTAGTCGTTGTTTCGCTGGCAATAAGCGGGCATCATCATGATGGTGCGCAAGATGTTCGTTTGGAGTATTTGTTGTGTCGTCTGTAAGCCCTGGTTCCTAGTAAGAAGCTGTCTCGTTGTTAGTACTGCGACCCCAGGTTTCTAGTTCCAATCGGCTGCAAGACTGTAGAGCGGCCATTCCAAAGTCCGGCGCACTGTGCCGCTTTGAACCTTAAGTTATATTTGCAAGAAGTGATCGGCAATGTGAGGACAGCCGGGTCAAGCTGTCTACAACATGACCTTAAAGCAACTCATAGACGATGTAGGGGAAGTCCAACAATGCAAATCTTACGTTTGAGTCACCCATAAATACTTTTCGGGGTCTTTGAGGAATTGCCGCTGGTCCCGGCATCCAACAGCATTTCAGAACCGGACCTAGGCAGACTCATACAAGCTGACCCGCCTCAATGCAGGTTAATTGGAGACTGCATCTCTGAGCCTTGAGATAACAAACGGTACGGGATGGCAAAGTTGTCAGATCTGATGACAAATACTCGAGAAACAAGAATACTAAAACGCCACAAACTAGGGTACTAAATATTGAGATGTAGCCGCGGTTGCAGTCTCTGCAGCGCTTACTATGTCAGCGCTCATACGAGCATTGCCCAATACCCTACCCTACCTAGCGTGGCTCCTTCAGGGGGCAACAAAACAAATCGCCGGTTCAGTCTCTATCTCTCTTTTTCTAAAGCACTATACGGCTGCCAATTAGGGAATGGCGAGTAGGTCCCCTTTTGAAAAGGCCTTCCGTTAGAGAAGACACTGTGGCTGCTAGGCCTATTCCCTCCCACCCTTCAGGGAGCTTTTACCAATCGCAGGGCGGGCGACAGGGGGGGAATCCAGGCGCAGACCTTTTTTATCTTTCTTTTTTCGCGGATGGAGAATTTAGCCCGGAAAACACTCTGAGCCACCAAGCCTGCGTGGAGGCTGCTTGCTGGGTTACGTCTGGTCTACCACGGCGTTCCATTGGTTCAGAACAAAAGGACTATGCATACATGCACAAACCGACGTGAGTGGAGCAAATTCAAGTTGACGCCCCGATATCTAGGCTCCCATGACTGTACGTCTTGTTGGTTCATAACAAAAGGACTTCGCAGCCAGGAGCGGCAAGTTCAAGTTGAGTCAAAACTCTGCCTTGTCAAGACCAGTACCAACAAGAAGGAAGAGGACGAGATGTATAGTTTACTAGAGTCTAGAAGGCGGATTACGTTGAATATCCCATTCATACAAATTGCAGGAAACAACGGCGGTTAATCAAAGGGTACAGAGTAGAGACTATACTCCGTATGGCGTGCGTCGGCGATGTAGCAGAACATCTTCCCACACAGTAGCCTAACGCGACAGCAGACCCTTGCACAGCCGAAATCTCTTTGATGGATACACTTTCTCACCCCATTACCTCTTCACATCTATACTGAAAGATGGATATTGGATTATGTCAGCCATTGGGTATGTATGTGGGTCAGTAACCGATCACGGGTTGGTTGACTTATCCTTGAGATAATAGTAGGATCGAAAAGGCATCTTTCGCTTCGGATTAGATTCAAATTGAGAGACAGAAATCCGCAGAGCCGCAGAACCACAAAAGAGACTGTCGATGATTGTGGACTACATAGTAACTCAGCCGCAACTACGCCTTCATCATTGAGGAACCCACAGGGGCCCACAGTAAACCATCTCATTCAACTGCATCAAGCACATACGGTGTACAGGGTCGCCGGGTGGTCCATGTACGTTAACGATTGTCTGGCCGTTCACCAAGCCATGTAATATTTCCTTTCTGGGTGGGTCTCTCCTGCTAAACCATCAGACTCCGTGTCTTTTGTATGAACTATCATGCATCCGATCCATGTCAATTTACCCCAATTGAGCAGCTGCAACGGATGTATTGGGATAGCTTGATAAATAAGGAGGAGAATAACGCTTTTGAGAAGGCTAGAAGTAAAGAGATTACGACTACCTACCCAGCTGAAGCTCGAAAGGGTCCGGCTAGATGCAAACGTTGGGGCTGCTGGTAGCATCCAGGCTGCGACGACTGTACGTCTCATAGGTTTAGAACAAAAGGACTTCGCATGCATAAATTGGCCAGGGATATCTCAAGTTCCGTGCATTAGTCACTTCGGATCCTTCTAACAACTCGCGCAGAAAGAAGTGGAATGAAGCGGGAACCCCATGTGGAGCAAATTCATAACAAGTCGGTCTCACCCTCTGCCCTGCTTTACCCTGCTGCTGTCAAGTAGTACCGGTGTTCTATCATCCCTGTCAATTCTATTCAATATGCTTAGGGTTCATTGATCAAAAAGGGTTTATTGTGTTCGATTGAGCGACCAAATCATTGGAATCCGCAGAGAGGGCAGATATGGAGGAGTAGGCAGAAGACGAAGACGGCAAATATGGGCTTCGAAAAGACAAATACATTAGCACAGCAGTGTACATGTAGTCAGCTTTATCGGCCCTTTCGGCTCTAATGCGGGTTGTATTAACCTGCGTGTGTATGTGTGACAGAGAGTTCGTGACTCCTGCTTCAGATGGTGTCGGCCCCCATCTCTCGTCCTCACCACAAAACATAACCAATCCATACTTCTCTAGAGACCTCTTTAGCTGAAGAATCCTGGAACACCATAGATCGCACTCGCCGCCGTCGCCTTCACCACCAGATCCGAGCCTGCCCCGGAGCTTACTTCACGAAACAACCCCTATGAGAACGACAATGCCGTTGGCTTTGCTCGTAGAGCTGTCTCGTGGTTCGCAAGTTCTCTTGTCGATAAATTTGTACATACATCCGTTATCAACGTTCACATAAGGTCCGATATTTGCTGCACATCAATGAGTTTGGCCCACTTTCGTGAAGCAAATACTAACTTTGACCGCTGCAGCCGACGGATTGCTGTGGATGAGGCCGTTCCTGGTTGGGATAAAGCAAGAGCTCTCTGTACGTGCATCTCTTAGGAGTAGATGATGGCGAGAGCCGTCGAAAGATGATTGAGGTGTCCAAGGGGAGGGGGGTGAAGCCCCCAACGAGGACGATAGTCCGCCGGACGGAGCGCCTTCCGGTAAAATATCGCTGATATCGAAGGAGCCGCGAGCCTGCTTTAGACCTCCTGCTCGGATGAATGCCCACAGGTTGCGGAGGAGGGAGCGGGGCCGGAGTCGTGCCGTTGGATCCAGTCGATGGGCAGCACCTAACATACAAGCGGTCATTTAAGCCGCATCAACATTTGCCACAGCGCGATTCGCTTGGCGCCAAGTCCGGTTGAATTTGCTTAACCCCAGGGCGTCTTATCTTTTGCAAAGGTTTCCTGTCCTCATTGGTTGAGCTCTTGAAGAGGAAAAACGAAGCGGAGCGATGTTTGAAGTGGACAAAACGGCTTCCATACCCGTTACGCTCAATTAGAGGGCGGGACCCATCCACCCAGTGCCACTTAGGACATCACCGCGTGGGACACTATCTGGCACAAAGATCAGGCCAAGATCCTAGGCATGATCATGGCGACTAGACTCCATTTCAAGGAACATGTCGCATTAGCAACAACGAAAGACCTTAAAACGAAAGACCTCAAGACTGTGCTGGACCTCTGGCAACTCAAAGGGCCCAGTCACAGGAATAGCCGCAGCGGAAAGAAATCTAAAGCAAAATCCCTGGGCGACTTCGCAGTTGCTTGTGCGTTGCTGTGTCGCTGGATCCCGTCCGCCACCTGTGATACCACTGTGAGTGGTGCTAATTCCGCATTGGAGAATTCTGGCGGATTTGATGTGAAACAACCCGTCGCAAGGGCTTTCATATGTTCGAGCTTCAAAGCCCTGCGGTAATAGCAGAAAGCGGCCTCCTCTCGTATCACAATAACGGTATCTCGGCAATCGTTATCAGGTCAGGTTGTAACCGAATAAGCTCATTGACATGGGCTCCCTGTGAAGATCTGTCGCTGCTACGTTGTTCCGGCGTCGTCCTTGACATCTTGCCCAACCACTTTCCTGGGTGGGTGGGTACTTGGTATTGAAAATCACTCAGTGCCAGGACACCAGGTAAACTTGTGACTACGTGATATGTTGCATTGCATTCGTTATTTCAAGGACCTCCCATTTTCTCTTGGCGTATGGATTCATCGACAAGGGCGACTGATATCTGTGAACGTCGGTGGACTTCGGGTCCCAAAAGATTATCATGTTGTTTGAAAGACAGCGTTGACGTCGGCTGACTCGGATGGTGTAACAAGCTTTTTGGTGAATGAAGGGGGGGAACAGGGGCACCTGAAAATCCTACGGCCACCCCGCGCGAAGTATCGGAACTACGAATGACGTCCGCTAGCTTCTCGGGTGATATCGACTATCTACCCCGGTCTCATACGTAATTATCTCCCGCTTACATACCTCCACCGCGATTACTTCAAGACCCATTCGAGGTCACGCAGTGAATTATCTGGTTCATCTTCACACCTCAAGTATATTCATGATGCCTTTCACTTACAAGACGGTTCTAATCATAGGGGCCACCTCCGGCATCGGTGCCGGGATGGCCGACAAGCTCGTCAGTGAGGGCTCAAAAGTCATTGCCGTCGGCCGACGCCAGGACAGGCTAGACAGTTTTGTCCAGAAGCATGGTAGTTCCAAAGCCGCTACAATCAGATTTGACGTCACGGACAATGAAGGCATGGATGCGTTTGTTCACAAGTAAGATCATGTCTCTCCGTTCCTACATTTTTTTGCTGATGATTGATTGAACACTTTCAGGGTGGTAACCGAGCACGTAGACCTGGACTGCGTGTTTCTCAACTCGGGCGTTCAGAGCCCGACGCGGCTGTCGCGTGCAGCCGAGTTTGACCTGGCCAAATTCCACGAGGAGATGAACGTCAACTTCACGAGTCTTGTCAACCTAATGATGAAATTCCTCCCTCACCTGCAGGCCAAGACGATACCTACGGGTCTCATAATTACGGGGACCCATCTCGCCATCGTACCGGCTGCCACTCTTGCTGCCTACTCAGCTTCAAAAGCCGCTCTGACTTCCTTTGTGGATTGTCTCCGGGAACAGAACCGCCACAAGCCAACTAAGATTGTTGAGATCTACCCACCTCCCGTACAAAGTGAGGCTTTCCATTCATTTGTCTTTTTCTTCGTATTCTGCTTGATCTCCTTTTCTTTCCTCTGATACTTGGGTTGGAGACAACACTTCAACAACATGCTGATATTTTTGGCTTTTCAGCTGAGCTCCATGACTATGCGGGGCCACGCGGCCGCACATACGGCCTGCCGCTGGACCAGTTCACAGAGAGAGCATACACAGAGCTTCTCAAAGGGGATGAACTAATCGTGATTGACTCTATTGCTATTGAGCCGAAAGAAACATACATGAAGTTGGTAGAGGAACGTCGAAGAATGCTTACAAAACTCTCGGGCGTCTTGCTTAAGCATTTTGAACTCTGATAGCAGAATTGAGAATAGAAATCTTCTGCAAAGACGGAAGTTGAATTGCAAAAGAAAAACAATGTTTGAGGATCTTCAAGCGAAACGGTGCCGGTAACGTCAGGATTTTGAACGTTGGGTTTGCAGCAAAACTATATAGTCATTAGCGAACCAAAAACGCAAGGCCGATACTTTCAAAGGGACCTGCAACTGCTTTCTGTCATTGATGATCTGGCTACCGTTGCCGCTCTTTCGGCCAACCATCGATCAGGTATATACCTAATTTCGCAGCTATGGTGTATTAACTGGCCATCAAAATGCCATCAAACTGTATTGAAACGCAGGAGCTTTTCTATAGTAAACTCTAATTCCGATGCGGACCAGGGTAAAATCTGACGCTTCTCATTCAACTGCCGCACTCGACATGGTCCGAAGAGACGGCTTTGGGACTTTTAGGGTTGTATGCTTTATTACCGTTCATTTGTCGCACAAGTCAAACCTTCCACCCTTCGCCTAAGATAGTAGCAAGCCGCTGCATTGGGACAGATCAGGATTTGCCTGCCGAGAATGAAAGCGGGCAAAGGTTATACTAGAACCAGCCTCGACGGCCGTAACCCTGGTGAGTCTGACCCCGTGTCCGTCCACCGTTCACGGTACTTCAGTTGTAGCTATAGTCGCCATCAAACACGTGCCGACGGTGTACGTCAATCCGGTTACCGACACGCAGCTGGATTCAGCGGACACAGAGAAAGCCACTTATTCCAAGGATCCAATTGAAACATAGGAAACAATGGTTCTTGGAGGCCAACACATCTCGATAAACCCCATGACTCGGTGGCCTACTTTTCCAAAAGGCCTGAAAGCCTGTCAACTTGGCAAACTCACGCTTTAGCGCTGTGCCAGTATGGCACACGAGGCAGCAACGGAATGGGCATTCCGGTGCATGTTCACAAGGGCCAAACAGAGTTATTTTGAGATGTGTTATTGTCCGAAATGCACTATGCTAGACTACTGAGATATCCCAAACCAAACACGTCCGAAATCATGTTGCAAATATAAAAAAAAGTCATAACGCCAAGAACTCACAAACGCTCATTATTTTTTTGGGGTGTGTTCAACCCACCACGTGAGGAACGCCCCTCTTCCACTTCAGCTCCTTACCATGCTTACTCTTGTGGTGCCTTGACACGTTGTCCCTCCGCCCCTCGTGCTCGCAGCCCGGGTGGGGGCACTGGCGGATCTCGGAGCGCACGTTGGTCTTCTCGGCGACGTCCTTGTGCCGCGCCTGCAGGTGGCGCTCGAGGTCCCGCACCTGCGCGAACTTGTGCTCGGTGCGGCGCTCGGCGCGGCAGATGCCGCAGACAAGGGCCTTGCGGTGGACGCGCTGGTGCTGCTTCAGCTGGGCTTCCTTGCGGAAGGTCTTTGTGCAGCCGTCAGTCGTGCAGTAGAACGGGTGGGTCGCGGCACTGGTGCCGGCGACGTCCGAGCCGGGGGAGGTGGTGGTGGTGCCGAGGGGCGAGCCGTCGGTGCTGGCCGGGAAGGCGAAGGAGGGCTCGGCTTCGGGGAAGAAGTCGAGGGCTGGCTCGAAGGGGGAAGTGTTTGTGCTTCCGAAGTAAGAGGAGACCTGGTCGGTGCCGGACAGGTAGCCGGAGGTGGACAGGTCGGGCAGTGGGCCGTTGAAGTCAAAGGTAGCGGTTTGGAGGCTCTGCTCGATGTCGTACTGCACGGCGGGATCGTTGAAGATGTCCTGGGGGGAGTCGGTGGTTTGGTAGTTGGTCTCCGTGGCGGAGTAATCGAAGCCGGCCATCTCGAAAGCGCCGGTGATGAGCATGTCCTGCTGCATGAGCACGGTCCAGTCCTCGGTCTCGTCCGGCACCTCGTAGAGCTCGGAGAGGGGAGAGTGCTGAAACACGTTGTCGTCCATGGCATCGGGTGCAGCACATACCGGCTGGGCCCCGTAGGGCCAGCGCTTGGTAGTGACCGCCATATTGAAGGGAAGGGGGTTGAACTCGGGGAAATAGGTAGTGGCGTCGTTATTTGGGTGTCTGCCCACGTTGAACGTCGCAACAGACATGTAACTCAACTCCGTCTCAGAAGTTGAAGGCTGCTGGTAAAAGGTGTCGTGGTGGTAAAGTGTGGTTGACTCGGCGACTTGCTGAGCAAAATGGTTTACAAATGGCGTTGGTTGTTTGAGTTCTTGTGGACAGGCGCTATCAGGTTTAGATGGCCGATCGAGAAGTTTTACGACATACTCAGGTCCTTGGCCAACCTGGGGGCCGCCGTCAGAATCGTGTCACAAGAGAACAAGCTGCGAGCAATGAGCTTACCGGTGCGAAAAACCAACAACATCATCACCACATTAGACAGCAGCCGACAAAGTCTTCATGATGCCGTCAGGTCCTCTCGAGCGCCGAGGCGTTGGGAAGTTGAGGCAGGAAATGGGTGCATCCAAGAACGCCATTTCAAAGTCAGAAAGCGCTTCTGGGATCATACCATAGCTAGACGAGAGAACGTCTGGAATATGACGATCCATGTTTGCGGCGTCCAGGTCTTCGACGCTTGCAATGGGTTCGCCGTGTACAGAGATAGTGGACTGCATGTCGCAAGTTGGGTCCCAACCATGAGGTGGTTCCCAGTCAAAGGACAAACTCGATGAAAGGCAGTGCAGCTAGGTAGGTAGCGTTAGCCTCTCGTTTTGAGAGAAATATGTCATCTATTCCGTGTTAACTAACCTGTCCTACTGCCTTGTAGCTTGGCTGTCGAATAATCGGGATTGTGGCGGCCCAATGGGATGTGGAGAGTAGCCTCTCGCCATCGGCGAAGTCCATGTTTTTGTCAAGGCGTTGCGGTCCAGGGTCACCGTCAAAGTCGTGGCAGTCCCAGCGGTCAAGGACCGGCGGATCTTTCAAGAAGCCCATGTTGGCTGCGGACGAAGCTAGTGCTACAACCAGCGCATTGGATGAGAGACGTAAGGGGCGCGGGGAAAGTTTGGAAGGACTTGTATCGATGAGTAGGGTTAGGTGTGCTGAGATGATGTGAGGGTGAGGTAAGGTGAGAAGAAGATGGAGAGATTGAAGGTAGTCGGAGCGGATGAGGATGAGAGAGATTCGAAGTCGAGATGCGCGAGGGATGCCTGGGGATTTGAACGATCCAGTGACTCAGGCCCGCAGCTTGTGAGTGGTTGCCTGTACCGTTTTCCTGGGGGCGCAGCGATTTGGCCTCAGTGGCCCGTGCGCTCTGGGAATTATGGACCTTGATCGCAGTGACTTGGAGATTGGATTAAATGTTAGGCGGACTGGGTTCTACTGTCAGCCGTCTTTCCAATTATAGAGGTATTCGACATTGAACTGTCTATAAAGCATCCAGATTACTATTTTAGTACTTTTGAACCATTAGTTAACCTTGTTATTCGACTGGTAGATGTTTCCACGTGGAGGTAGAAACCACGCAGCATCTCGACGGCTAGCGCTGAAGTACCGATCCTCGCAGGACGGGGCTGATCGATAGGCGGAATCTGACGGGTGGGTCCTTAGGCTCGTTCGCTTCTCGTTGGCCCCACATAGCGCAGCCAAAAGATACAAGCTACTTGAGGCCGCCGCGGCGTTCCCCATCCTTTCCCATGATGTCGCGCCAGTGCGCATGGCTTGGCCTTGGTTTCTCGATGCCCATGATGCAACTTTCGAAGGGACCTTCCATTGCTTATCCATCATTGGTCGCCGAACGTTGCGTCAATCCGACGAGCAGCTTGCATTTGAAACTCGGCTTTATACCTAGACTTGAAGTGTCCTGCATCTAGAATCTCGTAGGTGGCAGACAGTGCCATCACAACCCTCTTCCCAAGCTCAATCGCCGTCGTCTGCTGCCATCATCGCTCAGCTCGCGTTGTACGACGTTACTATACCTTGTATCTGGACCTGTCGACGGACCGAATTCAGACCTTGTTTGTCCGATTGGCTCTTAAGATCAAGACTTTTTTTAAACAGCAATAGAAATTCGCCGACAAAAGTCAAAACTGAACAGCATGTTCATCCTGATTCATGGGGGAAGATCTCTTGGCATTCCAGCCATACCAACGGGCCCCGCTTTTGCTACCCTTCAGGAAATACAATGGCGAAGATACGATCAACTCTCGAAACTTCACGCGTTATAGACACCACAGGAAAGGTCTTACTACAGCGTCGTTGCCCGAATACGCATGCGGCGGCGTCATGTCAGCCCTACAGCCCATTATCGGTCAACCCAACAACACCTCCGCGAGTGCCAATGTCGCGTCGTCAAGTATCTTTCAATTCAGCGACGCATTGGGCGAGTCTTGTCAAAGCTCGACTTTCGGTAGTGACATTTTACCCGCAGAGAACACCCACCCATCCTCGCCTTCACATCATTGGCCACTCTCTCTCCGTGCCTCCCAACAAGTCGGTCGGACCACAAAACCTGCACTCGCACCCGTATTCAAGTGCCAAAAAGTAACGCACGAAGTGACGGACCATATTTGGTCAAAAGGATTGCGCCGAGGGGGAATCGAACCCCCGGCTCCCCGACGCTGCTGGATGGCAACGGAGAATTTTACCACTAAACCATCGGCGCATGTGATGGCTGAGTCAGCTCGTGATGGATGTGCCCAAGTTAGTGCAAATCATGCCATGCCACACCTGCCAGAGCGGCAATATGCGGAACTCCCAACCGTAAGAAGGTTAAGAAAGTGATCTCTTAGTAGGTAATGTGGTTCTACACTACCAGAGAATGCCGGCTTAGGTGCGCCCTGCGAGTGCACCCTGCATCATGATCATCATGAACGAGCGCGTGATGCTGGGGGAACGGCGACAGTGACATGACCATCAACAGCTTCCATGTACGCGTCGGGGGAGAAGGTCGTTTCTGGCCCGGCGGGTGAAGTTGATATAGGCTTTTGCCAGCGGGGTCAGCCAAGTTTCGAGTCGCCACCTTTGCACGTCCCCTTTCTCGGTCTTTGCGGTGCGCGGGGTGGCTCGGGGTCACCAAAGCTCTGCTGCGTCCGCGCCGAAGCTTGTGGGGATGATCCGGAGTGCTGGACGGATGGCAGGAGGGGTTCCACTCCGTCCCGGATCCCGATACACCGCGGCTTGTTCACTCGGACTCCCTGGGAGATGGCAAGTCGCATTCGATGGCGCCAGGTGAGATGAACCAGGTGATTAACATGCTCTTCCTCTATGTACACCTTGTCGGCGACCGAGTTCCCTTTCTCTTCCACAATGGTTCGCACAAACAGTATTCCACACATATGATGAAGAATGAAAACAAACCCCATTCAAACAACTCACTCGAGAGACTCGTTTGTATTGCGTGTCTTTTTATTCGTCGCCGTAGCCACGGAGCCCAGAAACACCAGTCTTCACACTCTTCGAGATGAAAGTTCTACCGCCAGCTTGTCAAAGGTGCAGGCCAACTGTCACCTCAGAATTGGTTGCACGCGTGATTGTCCGGACAACAGACACGCTCATTCCAGCTCCGTCTCTTCAATCCCATTCCCCCGTCTCTTTGTCCAATCCGCGCATTCCATCCCCTCAGCACCTGCGCTCCCATTCGGGCCACAAGGTGCGGGAGTTTGAGCAAGATACTTGCGTCCAGAGACACCGCGCTAGCGCCAACCTCCCCCGCCCCGCGCCATCTGATTCGTTGCCGAGTCAAGGGGACCATACCCATCTTGAGCCTCTCTCTCGTCCTCGTTCGTCCTCCATCAACGTCCAGTCCTTTTTTGCACCGGACGCCATCCGACTGCTTCTTACTCGCATCCTGCCCTAGACAGCTGTTCCCCCACTAGACTAGGACAGGAGAAATAAACTTGCTCAATTGGCGCCCTCGATTGGCTCACCTTCCCGTTGCGGGGGGCGATAATCAACTCTGTTTTGTTCCTTCATGCTCCCTCACAACCCCTGTTGCGGTGAAGATGTGCCGTGGAGCCCAGGCAACTGGGCCAGCTTCGGATACGATGTGACGGTGGGCTGGCTGCTGCACAACCGCGAGGCGGATGATTGCCATGGGCCCTTTGACGAATCCTCTTCATGTCCGTCTACGGCTGCATTGTGGCGTTTTTTGAGGGGACTGTACCTTCGTGTGAGAAGTTGGCCACCCCGGGCTGCTTTAGTTTATCTGCCACCGCAGCTACAGCTCGCATCCTTGTTCGTGTGTGTCTTTCCCAGAGGAAAGGATGAGCTGCCTATTAATGTGGCAACGCATGCCTACGACTGGAGAAGGCTGTCATATATAACTGCTTGCCTTGCTGAGCTCGTCCTTCGTGACATTTCCTTCTTCTCTCCTCACGTCTTGGCGACTGTCGCATCACGAGCATCTTCGACCCGCTGTACAAAATTTAAACAGCATATCCGCTAAAACCCGGCACAATGGCCTCCAAGACCCTCCTCGTCGCCCTCGGCGCTGCGAACCTCGCCTCCGCCCACTTCGGTCTCACATATCCTTCGTGGCGCGCCGACACCCTCACGGAGAGCAACGACACGACCTACTCGCAGTGGACATACCCATGTAAGACCTCTCTTCCCTTCTCTCTCTCTTTTCTTCCCCCTCTCCATTCGTTGGGACTACGAAGCTACACGCCGTAATGACATGACATGACTGACAACCCAGGTGCCGGCGTCCCTTACGGCACGGGCAACGTCACCGACTGGCCCATCGACGGCGGCTCCGTTGAGCTCGACCTGCACCACGAGTGGACCTACATCTTCATCAACCTCGGACTCGAGGCCAACGGCAACGTCTCGACGCACAACATCTCCCTGACCCCGGAGTTCTGGAACGCCACCGGCTCCGGCACCCTCTGCGTTGAGAAGCTGAGCGTGCCCACGCCCCTGAAGGACGGCCAGCGTGGTAGTCTGCAGGTTATCACCGTTGGTGAATCGGGTGCTGGCCTGTACAACGTACGTATCCCCTTTTTCTGCACTCACATATCTGGATTACCGGTACCATGAGTCGAGCGGTTTGAGGTGCTGACTGGAATGGAACGTAGTGCGCCGACATCCGCTTCACTTCCAACGCCACCACTCTCTCCTCGGAGCAGTGCAAGACCGAGGGCGTCACGGTCCACCCCATCAAGGAGCAGAGCGAGAACGGCACCAGCGACAGCGGAAACAGCACGGGTAACTCGACTGGCGGCGGCGGTGGCTCAAGCGGTGCGGCCGGCAGCGGCACCCATATGCTTGCCCTCACCTCCGTCGTTAGTCTTAGCATGGCCTTCGTCTTTGGCATGAGCCTGTAAAAGGCCAGCATGCGCTGATGAATAATGGGGTGAGATGTAGAGGGTGTCTGGCGAACGTCACGAAGAGGGGGACGGCATGAGAAATGCGTTTGTGCGGGTGCCCTTCTAATGTACATGAATGCGTTGATACCAGTCCATCCCTACATAGGATGCCAAACATGATAATAAAGAAGAAAGGTGATCTCAATGCTATGCTAAGAATATCTGTATGTGTGTGAGATGCGATAAAATGCAATGCAGTTTGCCCCTCCGGATAAATGGAGCGAGGGCAGCGAAATCCAAATGTACTCATCAAGCTCCGAAATTCATGCTCTTCTCAATAGTGGTATCTCTCGCGGTAACGTCATCCTAACTCGAGTCGTTGTAACCCAGCGACGTCTATATCGACCAAAGCATTAACGTATAATCCAGTTGCAAAATCATGATGCAAAATCACAAACAATAATCAGATCATCTCTTGGTGAGAGCCTGTTGCTCCATCAGGAACAACTCTCTCACGACCCGCGCCATCGTGATACGCTGGCTCGGCACGGCAATCAACATGTCCGACACGAGCCGCTCGAGCTTGTCGCGCGGGTACAGCTTGTCCCTCGCCTGCGCAACCTCGCTCAGCCACACGTACATCAGGTCAACGGCGTGCGCGCACGGCTGGCCCGGCCGCTGCTGCTGCTGCTGCGTCGGCGCGCGGTTGACGTCGGCGATCATCCAGTACAGCGCAGGCTTGTTGTTGCCCTTCCTCGACCGCGCGTCTGGGAAGGGGATCTTGCCAAGGACGTAGAGCATCGTCACGCCCAGCGCCCAGACGTCCGACGGCGGGCCGCGGAGTTTCTTGCCGATGAATTCGGGCGGGATGTAGTACGGCGTCCCACCCGTCGTCACGGGGCCGCTGGTGTGCGTTGACAGACCAAAGTCGCAGAGCACGGCGCCGCGGGTGGGCGAGTAGAGGATGTTGGCGGGCTTGATATCGTTGTGCACGAGGTGCTTGCTGTGCAGGTAGTTCAGGGCGCCGCTGATGTCGCGCATGATGGCGAAAGCGTCGGCGCGGGTGCCGAGGAAGCTGTGGTCGACGTGGTTGCGCCACACGCCCTTGGCGGAGAGGTCCTTTGCGTCGACGTGCTCCATGTAGAGCGAGAGGTAACGGGCGTCGCCACCGTAGAGCTTGACGATGGACTCGTGGTGCAGATCGTCCTGGCTCTGGTACTCGCGCAGCCACATGTCGGCCTGGCGGATGACGTTGCGCTCGTTGTCCTGGGGCTTGGAGCTGGGGTTCGCCGAGCGGGTCTTGAGGACTTTGACGGTAACGATGCCGTCGGGCACGTTGGAGTGCTCGGCGGTGAAGACGGACGAGAGCGCCGTGGAGGCGATCTGGTCGCGCTTGGTAACAGTATACTCGTCGATCTCGCAGCCGCCCGGGATCACTACGGTTTCCTCTCGTTGCATGTCCAGCAGGGCTTGACCGCTGGTGGCCAATACCTCTCTGCTCTTTGCTTCGGTCGGTAGGGGGAAAACAAGAGGCTCGGCGGCCGGTCTAAGGAACATGATGACGCCGTCTTCCTTGTCCTTCTTCGCTACACCAGCCTCCTCTGTGGTGCGCGCCTTCTTCTCGGACCGACAGCCCCCATCGTCGGCGGTAAAGGACCGCTTGCCGGAAGCATTCAGGGCGTCTGAACTTGAGCTGGAAGCGAGCTCGTTTTTTCCGGCAGGCTCGGCCTGCTTGAAGAAGGCAGGCCGCTTTTCCAAGATCCTGAAGTCGAGCACTTCTATGTCGCGGACGTTGATCCTCCAGGTGCCTGGTGACAGGGCCTTGGGGGTTCCGGGATTGACACCCCAGCTGGCGGTGGAAGCAGGGCCGTCGGAGATTCTGGTTAATGAGATGGGCACTTCTGACCGGTTCAGCAGGATCTGGTTGTCGCTGGCCGGATCGTAGTAGAGCTCGCACCACAGCGGCGGGCGCGGGGTATCGTCGTCGAGCCGCTCTGGTGGTATGCGCACGGAGAACTTGATGTCCCTGGACGTCTGGGAGACGGCAAGGACCTTGTGCTGAGGCTCCTGCTCCGACGCGACCTCAGCGCGAAGGGCGAGCCACTGGCAATTGTAGTTGCCAGGGCTCACGGAGCGGCTCCGGGTGAGGGGCCGCACGAGGATGCGGATGCCCTGCTCGTGGTGGTGCTCCTCGACGCGCAGCTTATCGAGCGGCACTGGATCGGCCTGGACAAGCTCGTAGGGCTCCTCAACGCGGATGCTCCTCATGCGAGCGTCGATTTCGGTCTGTGAGAATGGTTCCGTCTTTTCCTCCGACGGCTCCTCCGAGCCGCGGACCCGGCGGTCTCCCATCAAGCAAGGAAGGGTCGACGATGCTTGCCTAGCCGGCGTGGCCCATGCGCATCAAGGATTGCGGTTGCGGGTAGGCGGGAAAGACTCAGGCTCGGACTCCAGGACACTTGGATGATGAAGTGTTGGAGGGGAAAAGTCGATGCAGACGTGAAAGGTGGGTAAGATTAAGCCAAGGCAGGTTGGTTGGTTGGTTTGGTTACGTGAGATGTCGTGTATTTCCGGGATAGCCAGGCAGCTAGGGCGGGCAGGCAGATAAGTTGACGGTAGCAGTTGGCGGACTAGATGAGCGTTGTGAGATTGGTTATGAGGGGCAGGGTTCAGATCGCAATGGGGGTAGGTTGGCTGAGGCGTGAGGGTGAAAGGGGAAAAGAAACAGGAGAAACACTGTCTGCGAGGCACGGATGCAGGAACAGCACGGCATTAATGAGCCTCCAGGGCACGGCCAACGATCAGATTGTTGGAGAGAGAAAGACGGCAGACTGAGATCGGACTGGACGTCAGATGAACAGCTGGACAGATGAGCAGCCAAATGTCCAACTGGATCCAGGCGACCGACAATAGGAGGAACGGGGAGGGAACGGGGTTTGAGCTGACATGGATGGGGGAGGGACCTTGGGACCTTATGGGAGGGCCTGCTGATGGAGTCTCAGCCTCAAGTAGTCTTGCCAGTCTGTCGGCCGACGCTGAATAGCAGGGCAGCGAGGAGTTTACTATGACGAGGTGCTGAACAGCGATGAGAGTGAGACCGTCGAGTCGGATCAGCACAGCAGTATCTGCGCATGAACCATCAAGAGCGAACATGCGCTCTGAGCATGAACATATGTTTGAGGGAGTGCGCGAGTGCGCATACCATCTGGAAATAAAGAGTCATCGAACCCTGTGGAAAGCAACGGGTGCCTGGGGCCGATTTGCGTTTAGGGTCTTGGGGAAAGAGAGGGGAAGGAAATTCGACTGAGAAGACAGGCTGTACTGCTGCAGGGCTTCTAGCCGAGCAAGGCGCTCAGCGCTGGCGGGGGGGGAGGGAGATCGTTCTCATTTGAGATCTCGCATTGCATCAGCCCCCCGGTCAGTGAGAGGAGCAAAAGTACCTCCGCGGCACATCTTCCGTTCAGAGTGACATGGATTGGATAAGGACAGTCTATCAGTCTGTTATCCATCAGGCCAATCCAAGGAATGCTAACGGCGGCCACGCCACAAACGCCTGTACAAAACGGATACCAGTATCGAGGACTGCAGACTGGGAGAAAAGTCCAAGAGTGGGTTGATGGTCTGCCTGTCTTGCAGTGTCCGTCGGTCTCTGACAGTTGACCCGGCTTGACACATTTTCATGAATGGGATAAGGTCACTTGACCGTGGTGTCTTCACGCGTCGAGGTCGATGAGATGGAGAAATGGGGACACAGAGACAACGGCCCGTCCGTGACTGGGACAGGTGCGGGCGAGGCCTCTTATGAGAGAGACTGTTTGTCGGGAGATTCATCCTCGAGTGTCAGTCAGCCTGACTGCCGGACTCAGGACTTGATAGCCGACACCATACCACATGCCAGGATTCAGGCGATGGGAAATGAACAATTGGCATTGAGTGAATCTTGATGAGTCGAAGTGTGCCTCGAATGAACGTGTAAGGCCACTAACAATAGAGTCATGCGGTGATTGGCCCTTGAAGCGAGGCGCTTGCTGACTGAGCTTCCCTTGATCCTTCTCACTGAGGAATTTGTCTCGCCGTCCTTCGTCATTCGCCTTCCTTCCTTCTTCGCCCTCTTTCTACCTTTCTTTGGGGGGAGAGGCAGCGCCGCACATTGTTCTTCCAGCAGGCTTTGCCCCCAAAGAGCCAACCAACAACCTGGAAGCCCAACATTGAACAAGAGCCCTGCCCGCCTGCGCCTGCCCGCCCTGGCGCTGCGTGCGGTTACCTGCGCCCGGATCAAACATTTTCGTCTCGTGGCTTGCGTGGGTGGACACGCTGTGACACTCGCAGCCTTAGTCATCGATCCTATTGGCTCCCGTTGCCATTGCCATGCCACCTTGCAGCAGCGCCTCTTTTCTCATTGGCTCGCTAGAGTGGCGGAGTCTAAAAATGACAGGCTAGCCTGATCCTCGTGTTCCGATTTCGTCGGCATCGACAGGGATCTTGCGGCACTCGCAGGGGTGAACCAGGCGCTAGCGGTGACTAGTGGTCCCCAAATGTGCCCCCCCCTGCTCTTTCCCGTCATTTCGACAACTCTCGTCAGTTGCACGTGACTTTTGGCGATGTTTTGAATCGGCCTGATGTTCGTCCGACTCTGGCTTCACCACATTGCGACCCAGCGCCCCCCCGACCAACTCATTCCCGCACTCCTCGGTGTCTCCACGCCCTGAAACTGTCCGTTGTCATCACCATCGAGCCCGCCCAGCTCTCACTCTTCGCGATTTCGCGCTTCACCGAACACACTTTTACCACAATGGATATCCTCACTAGTTACATGATCTAACTGCCTCCCATGTCGTTAACAAAAACCCACACCTTCTGCGAATCTACAACCCGAAGCCCAGGGCCTCAGCCCACAGTATCTCCCTCCCGGACCCCCAACCGATCCTCTCTCAACGCCCCTCGACTTCCTCCTCATCCCGGACTGGTCCTCACCAGGCTTCCGCCTCAATAACATGGACGAACCGGGCTGCTCTTGGCCTTTCTGGAAGTTTGGGATGAAGAGAGATGATCTCTCTACCAAACTACAAGATGAATACAACACCATTCCCTCCAACATCCAGGACCCCGAAGCATTCCATCACGATGTCTACGAGATCTCTCGTATCGCCGACACTGCCGACGAATTCCACCGCATGATGGCCGACCGTAAGGAGCAGCGTCTCAGGGAACTTAACGCGTCGCTTGATCTCGCTGCAGTCGAGATCATTGCTAACCCTAAGCTGGTCGGTACGGGGCAGTGGTCGTACGCTCTGCAGCTCTTCCGGACACGTTCGCTCGACTCCCTCGTGCGACTGTTTTCGAGCTACCTGCCTGACGACTATTCTTGCACGCAAGGTTACTACACGGCTTCATCTAACGGCACTTCCTTCAGCGATCGTTGCAGCTCTCGTACGGCGAGCACGAACCTGAGCAGCCTCGACGATGTGGATGGTCCCTGTTTCTTTAACGATGACGAAAACCCCGTTATGACGCATGAACCTTTACACATTTCAACTTCCATTTCTTCTTCCGCCATTACTACGGAGCTTCCTCCCTCCCCCGCTCCATGACGATGCAATCTGACACGTCTGCGTCGTCGCCCATCGACCACGAACACAACTACGTCCTTCACAACCTCACGCCCGCGCGGACCTTGTCATTCTCCGGATCCGAGTCCGGCCGGTTTCAGGGGAGACGGCTCCAATGTCTCGACGATAATGAGGAAGAAGATACCTCGCAGTCCGAAGACCCCGACTCCCTGGCGACATCCATTTCTGATCTGGATGAACATCGTCTGACGCGTGAATCTACCGTGGAGGAGGAGCAACCTAACGAATACACCGAAAGCGCCATTGAAGAAGACGACTGCGAAGAAGAGTTTCCCACGACCCAGCTTCCCTTCGATCTCTTTGACGACGTAATGGAGTCTTCAGAAACCCCAACCCCCAAGCAGGAAACAACCCAAACAACATCAGCAGCAGCGTCTTACCTCGATAGCAAAACTTCTTTTCGTTCGATACCCCAATCTTTTCGCGCATCCTCACCAAAGATACCCCACCTCCGCCGTCGCGACGCCAGTCCCGCCAAGAGTAGCATCACTAGCAGTACCACGAGTAGGAGGAGTCCTGAAGAAGCAGCGTGTCGTATACAGAAGCCGCAACCCGACGTCGCACGCGTGCGGGCGATGGCGGCCAGGGAGCGCAGGAGGGGACTGGACTAGCATGCAGGGCGGCCGGGGGCGGCGGGCGCTGTATATATGTCCATCAAGTGTACATACAATTGTATCATGAGTTCTAATCCGTTTTCCCAGTTCATGACCCCAGACCAAGCCCCAGTTATAAAGCAATCATTCCGTACCTTGTGGTCGGAGGTCTCCAGACACGTTTTGTATCGTGATGGATATGACTCGGAAGTAAGCATGGCCACCGTTGAATTGCTGATGTTGTTTCCAGGGATAAGTATGTTTGAGAGCACAACACGCGATACCGCGTGCGCGCATCAATCGCGCCGATTCCATACCGTTTATCTGATCCGTTTAGCAATCTCGCCCAGAATGTGATCTCGGTGTCGTGATGGTGGGTTTCTCGGTAAGTCGCCCCGTATGACCGCGTCAGGTGGCCTGCTTGTATCCTGCCCTGTTTCGGTGGTGTCGAGTGACCTATCCGCCGACTAGTGTCTACCTCTCGTGTTTATTTTTGCTTCGTCTCGGCGGTATGACGTAGGTAAAAAGAGAAAAGAGAGGAAATTCTCTCGTTGCTTCCATTTTTGTTTACGGAGCAGGTCATGTGCCGATTTTACGGTGGTTGATGGTAGGTTGTCCTCTTCTTTTTCCGTTCTGCTTACATGCTGTGTGGTTGAGGCGATTCGCGCAGCACCACTTCTCTCCAACGCCGCTGTGACTGCCACTTTTTCCACTGGGATGTGTCGCCGCATTCACAATGCGGTGCTTGGTTCCTTTATATGGACCTGACTATTCGGGCAGCTTCATGCTTATTTCATTGAGTTTTCAAGACATACCATTACAGTAGTCGAGTCTTTTCAAAACTCAGCCTTCTGGCGCAAAAGCTTGTTTCATAATCTCATGCTGTTCAGAGGCTGCATCTTTGACTCAGACTCGTGGAAATACCGGTCAAAAGAATAGTAGAGGGGCGGCCTGAGCTGGCGTCAACCTTTGCTAAATTTATGAGGAAGACATAGATAGAGCTGTTTGAGTTGAAATGGTCGAATGTTTTGGTAACTGCCCAGCTAGAGGTGCTGAACCGGCATGAGTGGGAAGTCTAGGTTTAGCCGCCATGACTCAATTTTCACTAAGTTCTTCCAATACAATATTTGGTAACAGCAAAAACTTGTCTAAGCATCTTGGTAACCCTTCATGATCCTGTTCGGTACCACGTCCAATCTGGACACCATATGGCTCTGTCGCATACGTTCATACGCCTCTTTTGCCCAGGACAAATATGGGGCTATTCAGGGTCGCCCAGGCTTGGTTCACCGTTCACCTCGACCCACCCCTGTTCGCGCTCAGCCACACATCGGCCAGGCAACTTTCACAGGCCGAAAATTGATCCCTCGATACACCAAGGTCACAGGATTGGAACATAATCACTACTTGCGCCCATCTATAGACTCGTCCAGGTAAAATTCCAACTTGCCGATTGCCGGTCCCTAACCCTTGGAGTATTCAGTACAAAGGTATGCCTGTAGGTAATATAATATTCGGGTTAAATCAATACAAATTGCCATGTCCCAATAAATCCTAATCAGAACGAAAAGGGTGACCGGGCTGTCTGGGGTGACAAAATGTGCGAGCCCTGTGATCGACGTGTCAGCTTTCTGGGTGCTCACTTGGGCCGGTGGAGGTAGTTTTACATGCGCCGATAAGTCATGAATTCAACGTGTTTCTTGGGACTCACACTCCTGGCTCTTGTAGACACTGCTCCTCAATTGCTAAGATGTAGTCTAGCCATCAGCGATCATCACATTGTAGGAACATTGCTCAGCACGTAAACCCCTGGCCATATTTCTCCCACCAGGGGCTTCGGATCGGGTGGGCCTGATAGCAAGAGGCACCATGCTTCCATTTGCAGTCAGCTTCATTACGGCTGACCTGATGGTTTATTCGCAACTGGGACACCTGGGGCCTTTTCTTTTGTTCCAAGGGATCGGAGCCATGGGCAACGTGCCCCAGATCCGTCGCCATGGCCGTTACCTTTGGTTGTTCTGTACCATAAGCAACAAATTGCAAATGCAGGGGAAAGCCGAATTTGCTAATGATTGGCATTGACGTACCGTACCAACTAGAAGGCCAAGGGTCATCGATCGACTGTGGCTACTTGCAACGAATCTGCCTTGCGCACAGTTCGCTCACAGACCCAACCAGATATGCCGGAGGATCATGGAGTGAATGATTGGGACGAGTGACCTGGTTTGCCTATGATTTCTAGATGGTTGACGACTAAACGAAGTTGTTCCAACTGGAGCTGAGGGTAGTGGGTCTAGTTCGAAGGCTGCCAGTCGGGAGCCATAAACAAACAAGTCAATTGGTTGGTTCTCAGTTTCTGGCGGCAGTCGCGCTTTGTCATGATAATCTGCAAGTAATACAAGACAACTAAACTAACATGAATCAGACGTATTTCCCATCACCAGTCGAAAGCCTCTTCAAAAGTCTCATCCACAACAGGCTTTTCATCGGTTAGCGCCTCAATCTCAAACTCAATCAATGCCTGACTCCCGCCTACTGTCCTCGCAATGCAGCTACGGATTACGCCGTCGAAGTATCGCTTTGCAGCAGCGAACATTTGATCGTGCCCACGCGGGACAATCTGTTCTGCTCGCGTTTTGGAGCCGACGTGCAGCAACACGAACCGCAGTCCTATCAAATCGGCAGCGCCAACCCGGATGGGAAGCTCGGCTTCCAACTCAGAAATTGTCTTGTCCCGAAAGTTCCCTGTAGGGACCCAAGAGTCACCTCGATATGCTGGCTGTCGTGTGATGACACGATACACAAATTCAACTGGTGCCCTCCTGATAGGTGGGCCCATAATCGTGGGTTTTTCTTGCTTTGACTCCATGTCCTTATTCTCACGATCTTTTGGTGCGGTGGGAGGTGCACAAGCGAGCGGTGAAAGTGAGGGGGATGCAAGTGAGGGGGGTGTAAGAGTTGTTTTGTCTGGTACCATTTGGGCGAGTGGTGCGACGTTGGTGCCCGTTGAGTGTGAGACTGGTTCGGCAGAATGCTGCCCCAGATCTTTGTCATGCTCCTTAGTCATGTGGCTAACGTAGGGGTCCACGACCTCTTCATCGAAAGTATCTTCAACCGATGGCCGAGGAGGCTGTGGAGGTAGTTGGATGGCTGTTGTGGGCTCGTTGGCCAAAGGTTCTGCATCGGGGCCGGCTGCTTCAATGTCTCCAGAAACGGCCGAGCTTGAAAAGCGCTCAGGCGAATCGAATGCCGTTGCTAGTTGATCAGGAGTTGCCATGTGAGAAATACGGCGGGGTTTTCTGCGCCGAGGCGAGATTCTGTGGCCAGATATTTCTGCATGGTTATTGTTGTGCTCCGTTGACGCAGGTGTTTTTGCAGGGTTTGGGCACCCCGTTCTAGCTCGTTTGGCTAGTGGTTCATCCTCGGAACAGGAAACGGAACGACGTGTTTTGCCTGACGTAGTTGTTCTCATTTTGCCGTATATTGGTCGGTCCTGTGTCGGAGTTCGGAGTTAGTATTGGAAAGGTCGCCCAAAGAGTTCCTGAGATTACTCACTCGCGGAAATTGGAACCCTGGTTCTGGGCTTTCAGGCACATGATATGGATCTTCCCTAAGCTCTTGTGTAAGGATAGGAGGTCGTTGTGGACCAAGCAGTGCGGGATCAATGGCATTGTCATCGGTGGAATCGGGGCGAATCGACATGTTTGGAACTGTTGCAGACCTAGTAGTCGTGTTAGTGAAGCAAAATCGACTAAAGATTCCATTGTGGCATCATACCTCGGAGATACTGCTGGCTCAGAAACGGGCAAAGTGGATGACCCCTCAACAATGAGATCCAAGTCGATGGCATCACTAGGGGTCATGCCACTTCGTTTGTGAAGGTTTGTAACATCAGATTTGTTCTTTTTGTATTTGCTGTTGCGATGCTGCTGGAGGTTCAATCGGAAGAATAGTTGCCTCAATATGCGCTTGATCCTAGAACGACGTTAGAGGATAGAAATCTGGCACGGCTATGCCCTTGAAATTACCTTGCTTGGTCAGAGCAGTACCTCAATCCATTGTAATGAGGTGATGTCTCATCATCTGGCCAGTATCGACGTCCGTTGCCATCTCGGTCAAGAAAAGCTCGAGTCATCTCCCCCAGTGCTGTCTGGTGATCTCGCGACTTCCAATCATAGAGAAGACTGCCTTCGAGACCATGGCTACTGACAAACTTTTTCCGGTAAGCTCGCAAGTCATCGTAAAAGGCCTGACAATGCGACAATTTTGCATCACCGTAGTTGAGCTCTTGTCGAAGGGCGGTGATAGATGGAACGGCTGTTGGGTTGACAATCGAAGCCATGATATGTGGCATGGCAGTAGAAGCGCTCGAAAGACAAATTGAAAGAGAAGCCGGAAGAGAAGTTGGAAGAGAAGATGGTAAAAAGATGGAGGGTGTCAGAACTAATCTTTCGATGGAAACTGGGCGACAGCGACTCTCCCTTTCTCACCCTCCTCTACATGTATCCTGGACTCAGCTGGCAGGGATTTTGCATTGCTTGCACCAACGGTGGAGATTCGGGTTAAGCGGAAGGCAAACCGGTTGGCCAACGATGTGTGTACTGTTCTTGGGACTTTCCGTGTTGGTTGTGTCATATCCGACTGACCACAACCAACCTGGAAGAGCCTGAAACTCCATGCTTGTAACTTGCTAGTCAGCCCACCAGGCTTCCCAGGGGATCTGAAAAAAACTGTCTACCACAAGTAGGCAGAAGCCATTGAATGATTTCTTTTTATTAAATGAAAGTACATCTATACCCGTGGAGTGGTCCGAGGGCTATTATTCACGTGATCTCTGCTCACCTATATAATTTGGAGGGTTCCCACGAAAGCCGTTGTGTTGCATTACTTCTTTGTCTTTCATACAGTGGCTTCTCTGCCCGTCAAACACCGAGTCGTTGTGTGGCCCAATGAATGAAAACTTCTTCATAATGACCGGCATGACTCCTGCATTGACAAAAAGGATGTCATCTCAATGG